TTTCATACAAATTTTAGGATTTTTTTTTCTCATTTTTTTAGTAAAAAATGCCATGGGAATTTTGGTAGGGACTGCACTGAATTGATAGGTCATTTTGAGTAGTATTTAGATAACCATGTCTTGTTTTTCATGAACACAGAATATTGATTTATTGTATCATTTTCAATTTCATTCATTATTGTTTTATAATTTTCAGTGTCTTTTACCCCCTTGGTTAAATTTATTATTCCAAGGTATTTTTTTGTTTTCATTGTTGTTATAAATGGAATTAGTTATTGGTAGTATATAGAACTATAACTGGTTTTTGTATGTTGATTTTTTTTTTTTATAACTTTACCGAACTCATTTATTAGTTGGAATAGTTTTTGGTGGACTTTTAAAAGATTTTGTGGGCTGGAAGTATAGCTCAGCAACACACGTGCCTGCCTGGCAAGCACAAAGTCCAGAGTTTGGTCCTGGTGTCAGATAAAAGGTTTCCTGTAAAAAGATCTCATCATCTACCAATAGATGGTTTTATATCTTTCTTTTCAATTTGCATGTCCTGTATGCCTTTTCTTGTCTATTTTCTCTGGTCAGGACTTCTAATACCACGTTGAGTAGAAAAGGGCTGAGAGCAGGCATCCTTACTTTACTACTCATCGCAGAGGAAAAGTTAGCAGTTTTTCACTGTTTAGGGTGAAGTTAGCTGTGAACCTGCGTGTGTGACCTTTATTATGTCGCAGTGTCTTCTGTCTATAATTCGTTGAGAGTTTTCATCAAAGAGTGTTGGATTTTGTTAAATATTTTCCTGTATTTGTTGAGATGATGGTTTTATTTTTATTTTTCATTCTGTTAATGTCATGTATCACATTTATAACGCATTTGTTGATCTGTCCTTATCCCTGTGTCAGTCTAACTTTCTTGTGTACAATTCTTTTAATATAAATTGGTAAATTGAGTATGGTGGTATCTTGGTAAGGATTTCTGCATCAGTTTATAGGGGATATTGGCCTTTTTTCTTTTTTTTACAGTGTCTTTATCTGGCTTTGCCTTTAATAATGTTGACTATTGTAATCCCAAATATCAAGTTCAGTCATCCAAGTATTGTAATCTTCATTCTAGTTTTCCTCACAATCCAAAAGATTGTATTTGTAATCCTATTGAGACGTCATTGGAAACCCAGCAATTCCAATCTGCCACCACCAGTGCAACCTATGGCGAGAGAAAAGACACCAAGGCATATTCCAAGTTAAGGGCAGCCAACGGGTCCTAAGTTGTGAGGACATGAGAACAAAGCCCCTGATCCTAAGCTTCTCCCAGAATTTATTATCTTGTGAAGAAGCGGGGCGGCTCAGGGATAAGTGACAGTGAGGATGGCGGGAATTATGTGCATAAACAAACAAGTTATGTGAGTAACTTGAGCTGGCTGGTCAGGTGCAAGAATGGCATCTCTGTAAATTGCAGAGATAAAGATATGCAGAAGGATCGATTCACATAATCTAATTAAGGTAGCAACATAACTGTTTTGGGAGGCAGTCCTCCATTTCTGATGTGCAGACTCTTGTGCCCTGGGGAGTCATAGCCTCTCTACCTTGAGGCTCTTACCCAGTTGACATTCCCAGACCTGACTGGCCCTAACATCCCTCTGTGCTCATATCCTGTACATATCTGTATGGAGAGCACTGTGTGAGGAAACAGGACTGTCTGTTGGCTTTAGAGATTACACACCAGCACCTGGCTAGCCTTATTTGCAATGAGAGCCAGTTGAAGAGAGAAGGAAATACCATAGCCAGTTCTCTACATATCAGTATAAGGAAATAAGTTTCCAAATAATCAAAGTCACAGTAATTGTTTTGCATTCAAGGGGAGTCACTGGAGTTGTCTTCCACAGTTGACTTTGTAGAATGATTTGAAAGAGTTTTCTCTTGTTCAGTTTTCTAGAGAAAGGGTTGAGTGATTAATATTGGTTCTTAAATGTATGGTTGAATTCACTAGTGAGAACATTAGGTCCTGGGCTTTTCATTTGGGGGACTTTCTTTTTCTTTCAGTATTGGAGATTGATCCTTTTGCACTGAATTATATCCCCTCCTTCAATTTTTTTTTTTTTGTTTGTTTTGAGACAGGAGCTCACTGAATCTTTAAGTTTCCCAGACTGGGCTTGAACTTGTGATCTTGATCTTGTGAACTTTGGGCTTATTTTTTTTTCCCTTTTGAAACTCCTTGAAATGTGAAGTTAGGTTGAGATCTTTTTTTTTCCTCAGGCATGTAAAATTGAGTTTTCCTCTGGTATTTTTCTTCGGGAACTAGAATTAATTTTGGATTTCATGCTTCACACAGTACTATGTTTCTTCGTTTGCTGTTAGATACTGATTTTTTTCAGAAATTTATAATATGGGAAAGAATAATTTAGTCTTGAGAACATATAAAATTTTTGTGATTATCCTGGTCTTCAAGTACATTAAGAAGGATGAGTTTACCAAAATGAACAGTTTGAGAATTAGTATTTTGAACTCTGGATAAGGTGCCAGTATTCGGTAGCATTGTTTCCTTAAGAGTTTTCATGTGTTTTTCACTGCCTGCCCATAATGTGCTTATGCCATAGAAAGGCTTCAGGAATTACATGATTCTGGTTTAGTTCCTTAATAATCAGATTGTTCCTGTAGTCACTAAACTGATAGGTCTTCTGCAGGTAATTTATATATTGGTGCTTTAGTGGTATATTTAAGATACGACCAATTAAAAAGAAGAAATTGCTTTCTCTGGTCATGGTGGAAGTAAATGTTTTCAAGAATATAATCTATAGGAAAGATTGGTCTGTAGTAGAATTGTTACGAACAAATGGTTACCATGTTCAGGTAATCAGTCCGCACCCCAGCCAAGAACAGAACCAGCTTGCATGTACTGCGGAGCTTTTCCATGTTCACAGGTGGTTTCCTCCAGGAGGAAAAGAGTGCTTGTTTTAAAGTCTCAATGCTTTTATTTGTTGTTTCGATGGCTTTAGTCAGTTTTCTATTATTTGATTTCTATATGTGTGAAGGCATGGACAGCTGTTTTGAAGTGAACAAGAGACATTATGGTAGCCACTGTTGATCTGTTGTCTTGTTTTGAAATCCTGTATTGCTTGCATTGTTTTATTCTGATCTGCTTTGCTTTATTCTCTTTAAAATAAAAAAGAAAAGAAAATAGTCTTTGGGGAAGGATGCTGAGCTAGAGACGCGTAGACATCCAGCCCTGTGAACGGAGCCTCACCGAGCAGGCCTGCCCTATGCTCAGCTGAGGCCACCGTGTGAATTGGCCTCCAGGGAAGTGGGGAGCAGCCCCTGGCCAGGAGCCCATGGACAGGCCCGTGCTCCTGGCTGCCCCCTGCCTCTGTCTCTCGCTGGGCCTTCTGCGAGCTGGGCAGCTGAGAAGATCCTTCCTAGGTCACCCGCTACTGATGGGGCATTCATTTGTCAGGGTGTGGAGAAGTGGCCAAGCAGGTCTGGTGCTGGTTCTGACCCTTGGTTCTTGCAGCTCCTCTGGCAGATGCTGGCACCGCTGTGCTCCAATAAATATAGGTCCCACTTGGTTCCCTGCTGCGCAGTCCCCGCTCCATGCAGTCACTGGTAGGGCAACTGAGCTGTCCCCTGGCGGTGCAGTGCAGAGTGGCTGTAGCCATGATCCCAGCTGTGCTACTCACACGGGAGAGCCGTGTTGGGACACTCACTGTGTGGTCACACCACTACTGAGTAAGAGCCATGGGCTGCCCAGGGGCTGCCCAGGAGGGCCCTTAGAGCTCAACGTGCGAGGCTGGGCTGGTTTTCTGGAGAATCTGGGGAGGTTTTATAACATTGGATTCCTAAGTGCCATGGAGACTTTTTTTATGTTTGTGAAAATTGCTCTAATACTGTTAATTTTAAATTCAATAGAATAATTAGTGGTTTACAAAGGAATCTATTGTTTGTTTGTTTTCCCAGACAAGATCTTGCTGTGTAGTTCAGGCTAGTCTCAAACTAGCAGGGATCCCCTTGCTTTAGGCGCCCAACTGCTGGGATTTAGAAAGTAATCTACTGTAACCTCTGTAAAAACTTTAAATTTACTAGAGTATTCATTTTAATGAAATTTATTGTAACTTGTAAAAATGATTCCTTTTGAAAAGTAAACTGCATTTTTAGATACAAATCCAAATTTTTGTCTATAGGGCTTAGCTAAAATACATTATATATCTGGGTATTACGTATACCTACATTTCATAGAATCATAATAGTGGCATTATGATTGCAGTCTTATAAATTAAGTATTTTTCCAAATAGGCTTTGTTAAATAGATTTATAAAATTCTGCTGCATGTTGCATTTAATTACTGCCTCCCTCTATCTTGTCCTGTCATTATTGGTATTGTTAAAATGATACAATTCTATGAAATGCTCTGTCCTATCTTATTGTTTAAGGCAGAGAAATGTTCAACATGAAGAGGCTAGGATGCTTTATAAATTTTATATACCCAGTTTGGGAATAGAAAAACTTGAGAGTCTTATGTAAGCATATGCATGTAATAGATGTAGGTATTTATAGGCAGAGCTGTGTGTTTTTATTACCTTTCTAAGTGAAGAAGGAGAAAGTTCTGGAAAGAAGCTGTTAATCTTTAAGAAATAATACCATTTGATAAATCAGGTTTTTAAGAATGTTGAATGACACCTAGAAAGTTAATACTCCATTAAAGGTAACAATTTTATGTGCCATAAAAACATCCACCATAGGTTCTAATAACATTTATTAAGTAGTATGAAGGAGAAAACTGGGCTATTGATTACCGCAGCTATTTGATGTGGAAGAACATGAGGACCGGTAATGGGAAGTGAAGAGTGTGGTAATGCTGCATGCTCACACCCTTCGCAGTGAATTGAGTGGTTTCAGAACCATGGGCTTTCCCGAGGCCTAGCCGAGTGGAGGATTTTATGAAGTGAAACATATGCATTATTTAATACAGAATTAGATTCTTAGAAGCACCACTGAGGTTTTTTTGTTTTTTGAAATTCATAGGGAGAATGATGGATCGGTGAAAGAAGAGAAATCTGACTTAAAAGAGAAATCCGCAGGAAATAAGAAGGGCAATCGATTTCATCCGTATTCAAAAGACAAGAATTCAAGCACTGGTGAAAAGAAGGGTCCAAATCGCAACCGGGTTTTCATTAGCAACATCCCATATGACATGAAATGGCAAGCTATCAAAGACCTCATGAGAGAAAAAGGTAAGTGTCTCAGAAATCACCCACTCCTGGGTAACTTCATATCAGAGGGGAAGAAGCTAAGCATACTTTTATTCTCCTTAGTCACATAGACTCAAAAACTTAATTTTTATTTCTTGACATATGAATTAATCTTTTCCTCCTTTCACTTGACACAATTTCATTCCAAGGTAGTATGGATAAATGAAGTACTTTCTTTTTGCCACTTCAGTGGGTAGTAGCAAGCCAGCATTTGCATGCCACCAAGAATTTTGTTAAAGTGATTGCTTTGTCTAGTTGAAGTTTTTATAGATTCTAAAAGCATTATTGCATCAGTTAAGCAATACTTGTAGTGTGTTAATGTATGCATAACAAGGTCTATTTTTTTTCCCAAAAGCTGTTTTGTTCTTCCCTTGGTGGAGTCTGGAATCTGGCTGTGGAATTCCTTTTGTTTGCATTGTCCTGCCTGCCACGATGCTGTCTTTGCAGTTCTATATTAAAATTGCGTTACTGCTGTTGTAGTTTGATTTCAGAATAATCTGAAAACCCTCATCTTACATACATGGTTGGTTTTGGGGAAAAATAATTTTAATACTTGATCTTGTAAAAGTTAGTTCTGTCACCTCTTGAAAAATTGAGTTTCACCAGTCCCACAAACTATGTACTTGGCTTTGAGGCTGATCTCTTCTAATAAATACAAAACAATTGCATTGGTGTGTCTGTTGTAAGGTGACAACTATTTGATTGGTTTTATTCATTGACTTTATTTAGAAAGTGTGTGGCTTGCTGTGAAGCATGACTTGTAAATTTAGTTTACTGATGGCAACCATGATTGAAGACATTCAGGTAGAAGGTCACCTTAAAACAGCTGTTGTGTGTAGGCTGACCAAAGTTATTTGAAAAGTGCTAATGTTGATGTTTCTTAATATGATAGGCTAAGGGACCATTCGTATGTATATGTGCATTTGTTCACCAACTATATCATGCTGGCCAAAATATGATCTGTAGTATGAATTAGGTTAATATGGTTGTTAGCTTCCTTTAGAGAATGTGGATGATGTACATTTCTGAAAATTAGTTAAATTTACAGAGCCATTGACAGGAGGTATGTTGGTCTGGTTTTGATTGTTGGTGAATAATAGGTGTTTTTCTGTAGAGTTGCGCACAGGTGTGCAGTAAAGCAAGATACTGGTGTTTAAATGTATTGTTTCTTGGTATCTTCCTTTTGTATGTCTTATGTAGTCGGTGAGGTTACATACGTGGAGCTCTTTAAGGATGCGGAAGGAAAATCAAGGGTAAGTGCTGTGGGCAATCATCTGCTTGAGGTGTAAAAGTTCCTCAGCAGTTTACTTTTTGTATAATACTTGTACCAGTTTTTGGAAACTTAAGTTTCATTTTTCTTTACTTTATTATGCAAGACATGAGGCTTTATACTAGTAAGTCTGATAATTACGCCAGCCAATGAACTGCCTGGAAGGGATGGGTTTGTAAATGTTTTTGTAAAGGGCATTCACTTTTCTAATACTCTAAGGCAGTGCTTCTTCGTTAATAAAATTTTTGTTGTATTTTGATGTCTTCAAGGATATTTTAAAATCATCGAATTGATAATATTTCCTAAGAGTTTCATATGAGAGGCCTGTAGCTTAAAGGTGTTAATTGGGAATGTAACTTTGAAAAGCTCAATTTGGTAACCTGCAGGACCACGTAAGAGGCAGTGCTCTGACCAAATGTTAGGAAGGCCATTGATGAGTAAATTAGCATAAAAGGAATTGGTTGATAGCAGATTTTGTTTTTTAGCAACAACTGTACAATATACTGAAGAATTTAATGGAAAGCTTTTTACAGCGTTTAATAGCAAAACCCATTTAGGTAAATGAGAAAAACATTATATTCACTTGACACTTTGAACAGTAATCACAAGGAATTTTTTTTAAAAATGATTCTATGTTTCTTTGGCATAGGTGATTTTTTTTACACTTATTTGCAATTGGATACTACTGCAGTGAGTTTGACTGTAACACAGAACTTTAGTAAAATAGAATTAATATTTGTTTGCAATTTTTACTTTCTTAGAGTTGAAAAATATGTTGTATACTGTGTATCTTCTAAAAACATTTGTAACTATGTAAGGATAAGTATATTGAAGTCTTCAAATACTTCCTTGAATTACTGTTGAATGCATTTGTATTAGTGATACTAGTTTTAACTTTACAAAAAGTTACCTTAAAGTAAAAATGTGCTCCAAGCTTGTTACATGCTAGGTTCTATTGTAAATAGATGAATTTAAAATTTAACAGAAAATTTATAATCTTTGCTATGTTCTGGAGGTGTAAACAATTTAAAAAGTGATTATGTAATTGATTACTTTTATTGATGTAAATATTAGAAATATCATTAGCTTCATCTACTAATCTAAAACTTTTTTTCTTTTGCATATATTGACAATTCTACCTGGATATAGGGTTGTGGGTAAGAATTTTTTTTTTTACAGTACTTTAAGTCAATTTAAACTTCTAATTGTGAAAGAAAGTCTTAGTACATAAATATTTCTTATAAATTTTTCTCCATTAAGTGTGGTTGAATTCAAAGATGAAGAATTTGTAAAGAAAGCACTAGAAACTATGAACAAATATGATCTTAGTGGAAGACCCCTGAATATAAAAGAGGTAAGATCTCTGGTTTTAAACATTTAATTATAAAGATATGCTTGCTTTAGATTTTTGTTTTTGCTAATATATTTGTCTGAGTACAACTTGTGCTTTTTAAGCGTAGAGACTTATTAAGGCACTGAATATTGACAGCTTTTCTTGTACATGATTTCCCATTTTCCTTGACCAGTTAGTCTTCATCTTTGACTTATTCCAGGTTGTTAACATTACTGCTGATCATTGGTTGGCACTGAGCAGGGTGTTAGTGGTTTGAGTCCCAGCCTCTCACTTTGTGTCTCTGTGAGTGCTGCTTCTCTAAACCTCGTTAATCAGAGTAGAACCCTCCTAGTACTTACCTGCCAGGGTTTTTATGAAGATTAAATGAGCTACAAGGTAAAGAATTCGGATTCTGGCGTCAGAAAACCTGTGTGACCCAGAGCCACTTACTGACATGTTTTTGTCTCGTTATCACTGAAATGGAACTATACCAGGACCTACCTGGTGGCGTTATAATGACTTTAAAGGGCTAATGTGAGTATGCCGTCTGATTAATGTCAGCTGTTCTATTTAGCTACTACAGTGTTCTATAAAGCCCTTAGCACTGTGGCCCGGAGTGTCTTAGCTGTATAATGCATGCTGGCAGAATAATGATGATTGCTGTTACTCCTGTCCGGTGTTGTTGGTTTCTAGTTGTGGAGTGTGATAATAGCTCAAGGTTGAAGGCCAGGCTTCCTCCATACAGATACATCCCAGATTCTTGCAGTGATATTAGTGTCCGGATTTCTTAAAACTTCTTTCTGTCTGAAGGGTATTTTATTTTTAAAAAATTTTCAACAGTAACATGAAGAAATGGTAGCGAAAGTTGGGCTTGGTGGTTTGTGGCGGCTACTGTATGTGTTTGTTGGGTTTCACGCATAAGGCAGGGTCAGTGCTGCAGAAATGTGTTAGATAATTTTCCTGTCCTGTTTGTCTTCTTATTTCTCTTCAGAGATAAAGTATAGTTCCTTTACAGAAGGGTCATACAGACACTGAAAACATACTTGCATCGTGTTTTTCTACTTTTATTTGAATAAAAAGTATTGGATTCTAAAAGCTGAGGCGTGTTACTGTGTCCTTTTGAATTTTAGCTGGTCCTTAGTATATCTTAGTTCAGAATGCATTATGCAATTCAGCTTGATTTATGATGCCTCCATGTTTAACTTAAGAGAAAAAAAATAGTCAAATTTAGCTTCCCTAAGTGACTAAAGATTTTTGGATTAAGAGTACTAAAGGCACTCCCTTTCTTAGAAGAACTGATTTATAAATGGGCGGCTAGGTAAGTGGGATGGAAGTCTAAGAACAGTATATTTCCAGTGTCTTTAACAGATTTTAAAGTCGTATCTTTCCCATTTTAATTAAGTGGAGGTCAGCAGCAGTTGTAAATGTATTCATAGCCCCTCTGGTAGTGAGAACAGTAAAGAGAAAAGAGGAATGAAAACTGCTATATTCCAGGTAGTTTGTTTTTATACATACACACACACACACACACACACACACACACACAGACACGTTGTTGCACTTACATAAAAGACGAATGCAAGTGTAGCAGAATGCTTTAGTAATGTTGAACACAAATGACCTATCTTAATATTTCAAGAAGTGTCCCCCCCCCCGTTTTATACATTCTTTAATAACATTTCTTTACTTTTATAATCCTTTGTGTTTCTTTGAAGAAATACATTAGAAGCCTGGGTATTTTTATTCTTATATTCATCTTTTTAGCTTCTATTCTTGTGGCCATCCTAGAGAATTAAAGTTATCCAACTTCATGTAGTTACTATTTCTACTAAGGCCAACAGGATAGAGTTGATGGTTACCTTTAGCATAGTCCTATGGCACTGGAGGTGGAGTGTGCGTGCGTGCGTGCGTGTGTGTGTGTGTGTGTGTGTGTGTGTGTGTGTAGTCCACCTAGTGGAATGAGTTAGAAATACATTTAAAATCCTTTCTTTCTTTCTTTCTCTTTCTTTCGTTCTTTGTTTAAAGATAGGATGTATCTCATGATATTAATAAACATTAAAAATTTTTACTGTCATTCTGCGCTTGGACACTTAGCATTTTTAAAAATGTCTCCTCTTCTGCTCCCATCTCGGATCATAATCACGGTTGAGAAAGGTAAGAAGTTAGAAGCTAGTGAACTATGTTTTGTTCAGGAATGAGATTTACATATTACAATAAACACCCCTTTTCTAGGTATTCCTGGGCTTTATAACAGCCTCTATTTCTGTTGAAAAGCTTTGCTTTTAACGTTAGTTTTAATTTAACATTCCATTGGGCATTCAATGGTGAGAATTTACCATTCCTGTATTCTGGAAAGAAGAGTCTGAAGTCACAGTAAGTCTCTTGTTCCTCTGTGAGCCGGATGTGTTATATATGTGTATGTACCATACTTGTACACTAATATTAGGGCAAAATTAAGTAAATTCTTAACTTTAGTGATTAAAGAGTGGTCTTTAACAGATATCCCTGAATACTGAAGGCTTTTGCCTATTCACAGGTTTTTAGAATTTTCTCAATTCTCTGGATGAGATAAAACAAAAATTTCACTCATCAAGAGAGTCAGTGATGGAGCCAGATGAGTGTAGAACTGGAAGTTGTTATTTTAAGTATATAGGTTTTCTGATGTATGTGAGGTGACACCTAACATCCATTTTGTTGCAGGACCCTGATGGAGAGAATGCCCGTAGGGCACTGCAGCGAACAGGAGGGTCCTTTCCCACAGGCCACGCCCCGGAGATGGGGTCCGGGTTGGTGAACCTACCACCGTCCATTCTCAATAACCCAAACATCCCCCCTGAGGTGATCAGTAACTTACAGGCTGGTAGACTTGGTTCCACAATATTTGTTGCTAATGTAAGTGTAACCTTAAGTCTAAGGTGCTATTTTTTGGTTGCCTGTTTAGCTTTAATCATGCTATTTATTTGATTAGATGAATGGTTTTTGTGTTTATAAAACATTTTGCTTGGTTTTAATTAGTGAAATCATAATTATTGTTAAACTCAGTTTAAGTCTATGTGTTTGAGATGAGACTAGAGTTCAAATACAACTATATTTTAAACAAAAGTCTGAAATTTATAAACATTTGAGCAGTTCATGATATTATCTATTTTAATTATAGATAGGTTTATCCATACCGGTAAATTGATTTCATTCTTGGAGCCTTGATATTTGTGAATGTGCATGTCGTAGTTGATTTGTCATTGGTAGTTTGGTTTGTTCTGAGTTCTCTGAGTAAAATGGACAGTGCCTTTCAAAATGTGAAGTTCTATGTAGTAAAAATAGGTGTGTAAATGTCAAGCACCGATACTTTACATTTAACAAATGAGTTCTAGTCTGTCGACCAGGTCCTTAACTGGTCTCTAAGTGAGGAGCTGTATAAGTGTGCACGTTAAAACATTCAGGACAGGGAAGTGGGCAGAGGGAACTTCTACTGATGGCTGTGCTTTTACTTGCATAACTCTTGCATGCACTATGGTAATGGGTAGCAAAATATAAAACTACAGGACTATGCTATCAGCACAGTGCACAGAAATTATAGTGGTGTACTGTACCCAAAAACAAACCACACTGAGGGGCTCTGTCAACAAGATGTAGAGAGCAACACACACTCAAGAAAAACAAATAGAAGCCCTGAAGTCCAAGTGGCAGGCGTAAGTGTGAACAGCTGTGAGGCAGGGAGGTTGTTAGACGAGAAAGATCTCTGAGAGGTGATTGAGCGGTTGATGGGGGAATTAAAAATGCAGTTGAACTGATTTTAAACAACTTAAAATATTTATTTAAACATTATTGGTATACTGTTGAACAAGAATCATGAAGAGTTTAGAAAAGATTATTTTGTATTTATAAAATGAGAAGAGGAATTTCTTTGTTACATAATTTTATACAATTTCATGTTAAGCTGGACTTCAAAGTTGGTTGGAAGAAACTAAAGGAAGTGTTCAGCATAGCTGGGACTGTAAAGCGAGCAGATATTAAAGAAGACAAAGACGGCAAGAGCAGAGGAATGGGCACGGTCACTTTTGAGCAAGCAATTGAAGCCGTGCAAGCGATTTGTATCCTGGTTAACATTTGAGCCTTGCTTCCTGAGGCCAGAGAAGCTGGGTACCATCTTGTGGGGGCTATGGAACCCAGGGTTGCCCCGTTGGACATGTGTGTCACATTTCAGTCTCTAACATGTAAGACCTTCACTGTGTCCAGGTCCTAAGTTCACTCTTCAGACCTTGAGTTAGCTGTGTGGTGTGTAGGGGACAGGTATGAAGTTTCTTCAGGTTTGCCTTCCCACTACAACTGATGACATGCAGCACGCTGTGGATTTTTAGTATGTGTACCCCTTTGTGCTTATGCACTTGTGCAGATGGGCAGAGCCTTGTTAGTTTTCTTTTTCAGTGGTTAAATTAATACATTTTATAAAGTAGAACTATAAAGCATAAAGTGTTTTCTTTGATTATATAGAACAGATTCATACCAATAAATATTAAAGGTATTAAAATGTGAGGGACAGTTCAGTACGCCTTCATTAAGGTTAGCTTGTGTTCAGGTATGATTTTACAATCATCTTAACTGGCTTTCCTTGACTGGACCCACAGCTATGTTCAATGGGCAGTTTCTATTTGACAGACCCATGCATGTGAAGATGGTGAGTGCCTCTGTGTCACTTAACTCTCCAGCCACTCGGACTTTATCAGCATTAACTTCTTTTAGATAATATCGTGACCAAATGGTAAACTTTTTTGCAATTAGGATGACAAGTCTGTCCCTCATGAAGACTACCGTTCACATGACAGCAAAACACCACAGTTGCCACGTAAGTAACATCTGTTACTTGAAATGACATAGTCTTTGTCTGTTAAGTTGTGTTAGGCACTAATAAGCAAAACTGTGCCAGCATGTGTGATGCGCACAGTCTGGGATTAGTATTGGAGTTTGGGCATAGTTTAGTGCTGTTAATTAGGAACACTAAGAAGGTAAACGTTATAGGCCATATTTTTCTTTGGTTCTTTTCCTGACTATGTAAGGAGTCATGCTAAATTACATGGTGAGTTCGAACTCATGACGGGTAAGAAGTCTGCTATTTCCCTGCCATCTTAGTATTTTTGTCTGTTTTCTTCCAGTCTTTTGTACATAAATATTTTTTACATAGTTGAGAACTATGTAAGTAATGTTGATTGTTTTCTTAGTGCTTTGGGTTGTTTATGTGTTGTAACAATAAAGTATGAGCATTTTTCTATATTGAAAATTCTTTCCAAATTTTTTTATTGTCATAAAGTTGATTCGTTAACTGTTTCACTGCTGAATATTTATTTTAAGTCTTTTATTTTCCAACAGAATAATGTGTGCTTTTTATATATAAAAGTGTAGCAGTTTCGGTTATTTCCTTTAGACATGCAGAGGTAGAGTGTAAGATCTAAAGGCGTACCCATTGATTAGTGTTCTGTGATTGCTGTCCAGAGGGTACAGAGTGGTACTGTGATGCGCTGAACACCTGAGTCCCAGTGCCTCGTCTCAGAAGCGGGGCCTGTAGTGCACAGGACCTCCAGCGTGGGTCTGGGCGGAGCAATGAGAGTTCACATGTGCAGAGCGCTTAGGCCTGACATTAACTCAGACCCTTGCTGCTTCACTTTTCTAAACAAAGCATTTCAAATACCTGACAAAAATACAATTATTCTTGTGCATCATGCATCATACTATTTACATTAGTTCTTTTAAGTTAAATTTTTACACATTGAGATTTCCCATGTCCCCTGCTCACCTCCCAGCATATGCCTTACCCAGAGGAGAGAACTTAAGAATATAGTATTTAGCATTTAGGCTTTTGTAGTTTGACTACACATTTGTAAATCCATAGACTGAATTTAAAATTTGGTGTGACACACACCACGCACACACTTTTATGTTAATCTATAGCTTGCTACTTTTCATTTAAAACTTCTTAAAATTCTTTTTGATGTTGCTATAGTGTCTTCATTTAATTGTTAGTATATTTTGTATAATGTTTCTACTTTTAGATTATTATCACTTTAATTAGAAATATTGAGTTGGGACGTGATGGTTCTTTTTCTGTTAAAATTACATATCCCTTTAATGTTTGTGATATACTGTGTGTAAAACTTTCTGGCCTTCATATACTGGGGCAAGAGCTTTGAACTACTGATCATATTTTCTACTGCTTCTACAGTGAATTTTGATAATTTCAGAATTTCAAAGGATTTTTTCATGTTTGCTCATTTTAAAATTCATTAGGATAAAATTGTCTCTTAAAGTTTTGTGTCCATATTTGTCTTTTGAATTCTAAAGGTTTATAATTTCTTTATTTTATAGTTCAATTTTCTTAGAAATTTGTCAATTTTGTCAGTGTTTTCAAAGAAGGGAATTTTTCCCAATATATATATATTTTAATGTTTTATTTTGATACAGGATCTTTTTTTTTTTTTTTTTTGGTACCTGAGATTGAACTCAGGACCTCATGCTTGCCAGGCAAGCATTTGTGCCACTGAGCTAAATCCCCAGACCTTTTTCCAATATATTTAATTTTTCCTTTTAACTTTGTATTTCCTTCTCCCTATTTTTATTTTTGTGTTAGCCTCTGAGGTTTTTTCTTGTTGAGTTGGAAGCTTACTTGACTAGTTTCCAACCTTTCTTTTGTAAGATAAACAACTAAGATTATAAATTTAGCTACTATATGCAGGTTCTGCTATGGAATTATAACTCAGTTTTTAAAGTGTTTAAAAATTACCATTACAATTTTTAAATTTAAGTTTATTGGTACATTTTAGGTACACATGATGATCATATTATCGTAGGGAATTTGTATCTGAACATGATACAACTTTTTTTCTCCCCATAGTCATGTATTATTTTAATATGTAATATTTAAGTTTTAAATGTGTGAGTTTTTGGTTTTTTCTTGTTTGTAACTTCAGTGAGGTCAGAAGACATGGCCTGTGTGGTTGTGATTCCTTGAAGTGACTCTGGAGTTGACTTCGGGCCTGCCATGTACAGGGCATGGGGTCCTGGGTCCCAGGCCTGCCCTCACCCTGCTGGCCTTGCTGACACTGTGTCTCTCATCAGACTGGTGCATTTCTTGTTCAGATGGACAGAGAGTGATAGATTTGTCTTGTTTTTACTTAAATGTTTTCAAGCTAACTTAGTAAGTGTATCCCAGACTAGAATTGATATATTTCCGCCCCAAAAGAATTGATATATTTTCCTAGTGAATCAGTTTGTCTTCATGGAGTGATCTGGTCTTTACTAATACCTTTCCACCCTTTGTCTAATGCCGCTAGTATAAGTACAACAGCTTGGTTTTGCTTAGTATTTCTCTGGTACATTTTCTCTCCCTTTTAATATTTTACTCTTAGATGTGTCCTTTACAAACGGTGCTATAGCTGGGATTAGAGGTTTTGAAAATCAGTTTGACAGTCTTTACTGTGAAGAGTTTCAATAAACATATGTTTATTGGTCTTTTGGATTGATTTCCATTGTTTCATGTGCATTTTTTGTTTTATAAATATTTGTTCTTTTTTTTTTAGTGGTTATCTTGGATAGTTTAGTGTGCAGCCTACAGTTAATTCCTCTGTTCAATTGTAGAATGACCTTAAAATACTTCAGTTCTACTTACTTTCCTACTGAATTAAATAGTATTATTCTTTAGTGTTGTAGCAGTGTATTGTTTTTCCATATCACAAATTAGACATCATCATTTTTTCCCCTTTGAAACATATTTTATAAGCTGTTTTAACAAGGCTCTTTTGTGGGTAAATGGTGTTTTGTCAAATGTCTTCAAGATTTATGAAGCTTAGCACTGATAGTTAATTTCTCTCAGTACTTTAAAAACACCCCACAGACTTCTGGCTTCGGTGATTGCCAGTGAGTCAGCTATTTGATGAATTACCCTTTCTCTATAGGTGGTCTGTGTTCTTCATTGATCTGATTTTAACCTCATGGTCTTTGGTAGGCAGTTTTACTACTGTGTGTGTGTGTGTGTGTGTGTGTGTGTGTGAGTGCGACCAGGTTTTAACACTCCAAGGATGCAGTTTTCTTATAAGCTGAGGAACCCTCCCTACCCGTGGGCAGTCCTCCTTCCCAAGGACCCAGCCAGGCAGCTGTGGTCCTCAGGTCCTGGCCTTGCGTTTGGGCTTCGGATGTACTTTTCCTCTGTTGCTGTTCCTCTGTTTACTTAGATGTAGCATCATTCTGTGTTCGTGCCCCTGTGGTACACACACTCTTTCCTAGGCTCTCTGTGCTCAGGTGCGAAGGCATTCCTGGACTCCCACAGGGTGGGTTTCTCTCAGTTAAGCTGCTTGTCATGGGACACATGCGCGTGTGCGCCTCTCCTCCCTGGTGCTGAACCCACTGCGCTTGGACAGCCAGCGGGACGTCCTCCCTCCCAAGGGAGCTAGTCTCGCAGACTCTGCCTTACGGTGTTTCTGGTTCCGAGGCACAGGCACCCGCCTTCCCGGGGTGCAGGCTGTGTCTAGTGCCAGATGGCAGTGTCGTTGCCAAGGGGAGGCTCGGTGCTCGCAGAAACCCCGGTGCCAGGTACCTGCGCTCTGCCTTCTGTGTGGAGCTTCTTCAGAGACGAGTGGAGAGAAGACACTTTCTTCTGAATTGTTCTTAGATTTAATACAACGTCCTTCTGTCTCTCCATTTCTAAACACTATATGCAGTTTGTGATTTCTGTCAGCCCGTAGACTAACTTACAGCTACCGTGACTAGAAAGCACCTCAAGACCGCAGAAAGGTTAGAAGAGTCAGTCACCACCCAAATAAGTGTTCGTTAGTCTTACTTGCTAAGGGCATCGTACTGCACTTCTTACAGCTGACTTTAACTAATTCGTTTTCAAATCGCTCATATAAAGACCCCAGGTTTCCAGACAGAAGACCTAACTTGTGGCCTTAGCTTAAAAGTGGCAGTGTGTGGGGAGGTAAGGTCTCAGCAGTTACATCTACGGGCGACAGGTGTGAGGCACTTAAAGTGCTGTGCAGATATTGGGAGCATATATTTGTGTTAGTAATAAAGCCAGAGGATAACATTTACTTATTCACTATTACGTTTTCATGGCTGGTGACTTTTTTATTTGGGTCGAACTGTTTTAAAAGGTTTAAGTGATTGTGCACATTTGTGCATGATGTACACCTTTTGTAAGGTGCTGTGTCCTTCAGAATCCTTTTGACATTTTGCTAGTCCAGTCAGTCTGCCTTTCTGTGGGTCGGAAGGGAAGCTTGCTTTGTAACATATGGTGTTAGTGCCAGGCTTCTGTCTGCTGCTTTTGAAGTGAGCAGGAGAACCAGCGCTCACGCTTGCAGATGTGACATTTTAGAGCTACTCGTGCAGGCATGCGGCTGTTTCTAAACTTTAGTGCCAGTTGGTTGAATAGGGGTTGGTAATAACTGTCTTTCTTTGTCTTGAGGTGGTCTTGGTGGCATTGGAATGGGACTTGGTCCAGGCGGACAGCCTATCAGTGCCAGCCAGTTGAACATAGGTGGTGTAATGGGGAATCTAGGTCCAAGTGGTGAGTATTCTACCTTTCTGATTTTGTTATAAATGATACATTTGCAGCATAATAAACACAGGCTGTATTAGTCTCCTAAAGACTGTTTTAGAGAAATTCAGAGTGTCACTTTGGTTAAAGAAGGGGTGAGCTCATGACAGCAGGAATAATGAAAAATGGCGGCCGGAGTCGGGGGCCCTGTCCCTGTATGGGGTGGCCTTTCCACTGTAGGCACGGAAATGTCTTTAAGGCAAAGGAGAATTCTCAACATAGTGCCTGTGTGTCCTGGGTGTGTGGCATTTGGGGGTGGGCAAAGTGCTACCATTATCACCAGTGATGTAAAGCAGTTTAGTTAGTTAAGGGGTATCTGTCCTGGTACTCCTATTTGACAGCTATTTGACAGCTTACTTGGACTTACTCTGAGTTTATGTTGATAAGTGGCCTTCAATTTTGGGGTTAAGGCCTTTTTATAGCCTTAAAAATTCGTTGAGAACCCCAATATAATTTTATGTGGCTACATTTCTCAGTGTTTTCTGTGTTATAGAAATGTTAGAAATGTAAAGGTACACCAATGTATTTAAAGTTAGCAGTAATTTACCCTAACTTTAATCTGACCCTAAAAGGTACTTGACCATCCATATAACATAAAATATAGTTTATTTAACATAAATAATTTTTAAGACAGCATAATTGTAGTTCAAAAAAAAACAAAAACAAAAACAGGAGAGTGGCATTTGTCTTTCCGCGTCTCTCATGGCTGGCTAAGTACATGGCGGCCATGCTGTGAGTGCCGCCTCTGCACTCAGTGTGTGGTGCTGCCAGGCACCGTGTCGTCAGGAAGTCACATGCCAGAAACATACATGGGCCAGTGAGAGGGACACAGGTTTTACCAGATGGAATAATAAATGCTATCAGATTCCTGGTTTAGTTGAAATGCTGTAGTCACACTTAAAGTATGCTGGTCACTGTGGTAGTCATGATGACCCAAACATCTCCTTCATCCTGTCATGCCCACATCCTCCTAAATACAGACTGTTTGTATTTTTAACTCAAATGACTGTCATGTTCAGTGGAGTCTGTACTTTCTGAATTGATCTCTAAATCTGCTCTGAGTGATATTTCTGTTCCTGTTCCAAAAGTGAGGGATTACCCAGATTTAGGTGTTCTCTAACCAAATGCTGCAGGCGTGGCCAGTGAATTTTACCTGTGGTCGAATAAGTGTTCCAAAGGCCTTCATGAGCCCTGGCTGACTGCTGTGGAATGGCCCTTTACACGGTTCCTGTGTGTTCTGTGGCTTCTCTTTGTTCCACGGTGGCCAGCCAGTGGCATTCATTGGGCAAAATGCATTATGTTACTCTTCAGTCACTAAAGCAAGGTTTACTGAAAGATCGTACTGTATTTTATTTGAGGTATGGGAATGGATGGCCCAGGTTTTGGAGGAATGAATAGGATTGGAGGAGGTATGTATAAGCACTTACTTTTTGCATGTACCCATAACTGTTTGTAACGAAGTAGAAACTGTGTTGAGAATTCTAAGGAAAAAAGCTATGGTTCATTGTTGGCTCATGTTCTAAAGGCTGCTAGCAGAAACTGAGCCCGGTTCATGCTTAAGGGAAGGTGATGTGTTAACAAGTAGCTGCACAAGGTAGGGTGGATGACAAGCTTACTGGTGAGACCTAACATTTACAAAATGCCCCTTTCAGCTGCATAACTGACAGTGAAATCTGAACACTTCTCTCTGTTTCACAGGCATCGGGTTTGGTGGCCTGGAAGCAATGAACAGCATGGGAGGATTTGGTGGAGTGGGCCGGATGGGAGGTAGGTGCCTGCGTGTGGGTCGCTTGTTACTAGTGGTGGCTTGGGAAGGGAGGGGCTGGGGTACTGGCCGTGTGGGGCAGGGTGGTGTGGTGGGGAGTGAGGAAGTGGGGAGGCCAGTCAGGGTTGCCCACTTGACTTCCTTGTCTCTTCAGTTCATCTTTGGTTCTGTCCTAAAGAAGGCATGGTTTAGCATGCTTTGGTGTCCTTGAAAAGGGTTAACTTGTTGCTCGATCTTTTTAGAGCTGTACCGTGGCGCTGTGACTAGTAGCATGGAACGAGAGTTTGGACGCACTGACATCGGAATAAACCGAGGCTTTGGAGATTCATTTGGTAGACTTGGTAGGGCTGGCTGCATACTTCTTTCCTTTTTCAGGTTATAGTCTCAAAAATTGTGGTGTTTGTTTTGTGAAAAGTCATAAAATCCTAAGGCTTCATTTACCAGAAGAAAATTCTTTAGGAATTTTGATGTACTATTTTTTTGATAACATATTTGAACTCTGTTTCCAGAATGCTTTGTAATTTTCAGTTACTGTATATCTTCTGAGAGGATAGTACCTTGAGAATTGTAAATTTTTTTTTTATTTAAAAAAAAAGAAACAAAAGAATACATGGAGATTAAAAAAAAAGGGTAGAAATAATACAAACTTACAGAAAAACAAAGGGTAAGAAATTGGCTGGTTGATAAGTTACACATTGTCATCTTAGAAATAGCTGTTCATGTTACAGAATTAAAGTATTTAGAATGACATTCATAAAGTGACACTACAAACCGTTCTGCTCTATGATCGAACAAAAGCTCAGTAATATGGTTATCAGTCCTACACATTTGTTTTACATCTCAAAGAGGATAAGATTAAACATATCAAAACGGAACAAAGCAGTTAAAAAAACAATTTAAAGAAATACAGATTTCGCAGCAAGCCCACTGGAGATCTTCATTGTCTATCTAATTGTCTCTAGTTTCTTACAAATAGTTGTCCCCATCTTCACCCACTTTATATACTTATTGCATATTATAGAACTAATCAAATCATTGGAGGCTTTTTAGGTCCTCAAGTTCCAAATTAGGGACGACAATCGTAACTACCATCGCATCTCTCATTCTCTTTGTGATAGCTGTCCCTATCTCTACATATGCTGAAATTGAACTCAAGAAACCAGTCCAATGTCGTTCTAATCAGCGAACAATAGTATTGCTAGATTTTCTATCATAATGCTACAAAATTAGCCTCGGGTTTCTTAGCGTGTCTTCCTCAGAGTATCTGTTCATTATATCTTGCATTATATAATCTGTTCCCATAAATAATTAAAAAGAAAAAAAAAACCATTTGTGAATTTCTACATATATATCTATCCTCTCTGTATTATAGGGAAAACCAAGTCATAGCAAGACAGCAAAACAATTTCCTAGAAAAACATGCAATGTATAAGACATAAGACCACAATATAGATGATCTTCCATACTTTCTATGTTTTCTCTTGTTATTTTCAATAGATTTGACCACAACACTGGGTTATTATAGTTAAATATAGTCTCACCTATTTTTATAAAAACTTAACTTTGACAGCATTGTAGGATTTGACAGCTGTTACTAATTAATACAAGTATGGATATCCTTTACATCTTGTCATCCTCAGAGTAGTTGCCTCTACTTTTAGGGTTGATACTAACAAGCATACCAATTTCAAATAAAATCAGCGAAGGCCAACCCATAGTCTTATGATTCAGATTCAATTAAGATCAGTCATAGTAAGACAATGTAAATATTGTAGGATTTCAGTTTAAGTTAATAGGAAACTAAGGATAGTTACCATGGTATAACCTGCTATTTTTGGGTCAGGATGTCTGTGCCCTCAAATCTGACATGAGTGGGCAGACCAGTATAAATTAAATTCAAACTAAATATGTTAATAAGACTACTATGTCTTTTAAATCCTTATACACCATTAACAATGACCTCTGCCTTTTTCTTTTTTTTATAGAGTTTCAGAGCTGTCTATACTAAAGACTATAGCTTACCGTCTCTGCCTCATGTCTGCTACTCCACTTTTCTGCTATAATTTGTCCACCTTATTCCCTCGTTCCACTGTCTGCCCTGTTCACTGAGGTCTCTCTGCCACTGTTGCTGGAATCCTGGTATCTCTTCCTCTCTTTCTCTGTAATGTCCTTCAGCACTCTCTGTAGGGTTGGATTGGTGGCCATAAACTCCCACAGTTCCTCCTTGTCTTGAAAGTATCTTATTTCTCCATTAATTTTGAGAGAGAGTTTTGACAGGTATATGAGCTTTGGTTGCATAACTCCCTTCTTGACTTAAGAGTTTGTGTTGATAAGTCTGCTGTTATTTTGATAGTTTTCCTGTTGTAGGTAATCTGTATCTTTTCTCTGGCTGCTTTTAATATTCTGTTCTTTTGGTGGATTTCTGGAATCTTGATTATTGTATGTCTAGGCGTAGATCTGTTTTGGTTGTAGGTAGCTGGTGTTCTGTATGCCTCTTTTATCTGGATATCATTTCTTTTTGCTATATATGGGAAATTTTGCTTTAATATATCTGTGAATATTCTTTGTATTTCATTTTTGGTTGCTCCTGCTTCCTCACTCACATTCTTTATTCTTAAGTTATGTATCTTTTTGTCATCTTCTAGTTTTTGAATTGCTTCTTTCTGGTTCCTTGTTATTTTTAAGAGGCTTTTTCTTTCACGATCATATGCCATAAATCTCTCTTCAAGTTTCAGAAGGCTGTCTTTAGTTTCTGTCAAGGCATTTTGCCAGTGTTCAGTGGAGTTTTTAGTTTCCTGGTATTCTCTTTGGATCTGTTTCATGCATTCTAAGTTATGTTTAAATTCTTCTTCAGAAGTTTCTCTTTCTTTTCTGATTTCCTCAGTTCTTCCATCTGTGTTCTCTTGGGCGGGGCTTGTCATTTCTTTAATTAATCTCTTTATATCTTGCCTCACTTGAATCAGGAGTACAGCTTTAAATTCTTCTATGAGATCATGAAGGTACTTTTTAATTTCGGCTGATGCTGTGTCGAGCAATGGATGGTTACTGTGCTTGTTCTCTTTGGTGTTTACTTCTCCTGGGCTTATTTTCTCATGTTGGGCAGCTGGAGATTTTTTTTAATTTTTATCTCTTGTCATGTTTCTGGTTTCTTTCAGACTGTCCTGGGGTTCTCTGGCCCTCTCCGAATTGCTTAGGGCCTTTCAGAAGCGTGCTGACTTGAGTTTTTGCTGTCCTCCCCGAATTGCTGTTATCTGGGGTAGGCTGGGATGCAGGGGCGATACAGGCTAGTCTCCAGCCTCTGCGCCAGTCAGTCTGTAAATTAGGCTGTACTTTCTGGATGTCACTGAGTTGTGACTATTTTGTATCTGCTTATTGGGCCCCAAGCAGAGGCTTGGTTTAGCCCCAGTAGCTCCTGCCGGTTCTCTTTGTACCAGAAGCAGCTGACTAATGTCACTATGGCACAGGGTCCTGCCCAAATCCCAGCTGTTCTCTTCCAGACCTCTCTGTGACAGGAGCACCAGAACAGCAGATCTGCCCAAATCCAAGATGTCTTCCACTAGTTCTCTGTATGACGCTGAAGCCAACACGTACTCAGGCTCTGCCCAATTTCAAGATGCCTTCCACCAGCCCTCCCTACAGGGGGACTCTGTGATGCCACCGAGCTGTAGGTTCTGCCCAACTGTAAGATGGCTGCCACCAGACTCTGTGTTATTGATGTCCCCGTGGTGGTGGGCACTGCCCAGTTCCAAGATGTTCTCTGGCCAACCCCAGCAGCCGCGGGGTCCCCAGTACTCACCAGGGTCCACGCCGCCCACCTTTCCTGCACTCCTGGCACAGCGCGGAAGGGTCAGAAATCCATGCAGCGTGCACGCCTGTTACAAGGCGGAACGGTCAGAAATCTGCGCAGCGTGCCGGGAATTGTAAATTTTGATTACTTAAATTAATTAGTATATTATCTTCCCACCCTTGTTTAGGCAGTGCAATGATTGGAGGGTTTGCAGGAAGAATAGGCGCTTCTAACATGGATCCAGTAGGTCCTGGAATAAGTAGGTTTAAATTTTACTAGAATTCATTCAGTGATATTTGAGTGCTTGCAAAGATTTTGTGAGAGTAGCTACTGTAGTATAGTAATACTTTGTTCTAATGTATTAATATGTTTTATCATAATTTGAGAAATTTTGAGTTACTGAGCTAAGCTTTCTATTTGATCACTGTTTGAAACTGTACTTCTTTGCTATTTATAAGCTGATAGCAGAGTGTGTGTTAACTCTCAGGCAATCCGAGGACCATCTTTTCACTTAAGGAATTTGGTATTTCTCTGATTCTGTGCCAGGAATAATTTTTATTTTAGACCAGCCTTGCTTCCATTTTATTTTCAGTAGCAGTGGTAGTGAACAGCTCGTGTCATCTGTGAACACGTGTGTCTTCTGGTGGACACGGGCCTCCTGAGGCTGAAGGAGGCTCCCTTTCCTGTTAACGCGCTCCCGCCCGTGACCAATGGAGTGTCATTGCAGTGCAGAGAGTGCAGTCTTCCCTCCTTCCACCACATGGTAGTCCCTGTAGGGAGCCTTGGTGTGTGGCTTAGCTCTGTGTCTCTGTGAATCCTCCACAGTGCATTGACATCCTTTAGTGATGAAAGTTCACAAACAGGCAGTGCAGCTTCCTGCAGCTGTTTGTGCAAGGGCGTGAATGATACAGTCCTGTTGGCAGAAGTCTTTTACCTCCTCAGTGTACCTCTCTCGTTTTCTTCCTCATTTTATCATCCGATGGCCTTATTTTCCTGTTAAATATAAGTCCCCTGCTTGTTCCTTTTATCTCAGTGTTTAGACTTCTGTTTCCCTAGCTTTATACTTGTTAGTGACAGCAAACCACTTTGAAGGTGATGTGGGTTTTTAGAGTTCTTATGTATGGAATTACTTGGTCCAAGAAAAAATGGGTAAGTTTAGAGCATAAATCTGACTGGAGAAGTTAAAGAGGGTAGGAGGTGCGTCAGTGCGTAAGGACGAGGAGGTGAGAGTACCGGCCCAGGCCCCTGGCTTTGGCTTTTGTTCCCTCCGAAGTTCTGTGTAATAGTGGTGTTTAAAGATATTTTTTATGATTGCTATCAGTTGCTATCAAAAGGGACATTGCATGGGAACAGAGTGAAGACCCTGAGGGAAGATCAGAGAAGAGCAGGAGGGAGAGTGCGGTGGGTGGTGTGTGCTGCCGCTGTAACAGTTTGCGACGTGGGTCCCAGCAGTCATTGTGCTGTTGGCTGTTGGAAGAGCCGTGTAAGGGTTAAACACTAAAAATGAAGTGATTGCTGGAGGGTTACTCTGCTTTGTGACCAGAATGTGGTTTTATAGAGGTATGCATGTATAAAGTACATAGTAGCTAACATTAAGATTTCTCACCTAAGGGAAATGTACAAATGTACACTATGATTCTCTTCCTTAGAGCATAATTGTGCTGTCTGAATAAAAGTTACTTTGTTTACATGTTACTTAATTATATAAATGAAATTTACCCTTTTCTCAAAAACGACTCTCCTTTTTCCTTCCTCCCTCCTTTCCCCTTTTGCTTCGGTTTCCGAACACAAACCCCGAACTCTGCACATCCTGCCTCCGCGGTATGCATGCAGGCGGCGGCATGGGTGGCATGAGCAGCGTGACAGGAGGCATGGGCCTGGGCCTGGACCGCGTGAGCTCCAGCTTTGACAGAGTGGGCCCAGGCATCAGCGCCATCCTGGAGAGGAGCATCGACGTGGACCGCGGGTTCCTGTCCGGGCCCATGGGCAGTGGGCTGCGAGAGCGCATGGGCCCCAAAGGCAACCAGATATTTGTCAGAAATGTAAGGGAATGGGTGGCAGGGTGCTCACATGGCGTGTTCCCTCGGTGTATGCGTCACTAATGTCTCTTTTTATTCTAGCTGCCCTTTGACTTGACTTGGCAGAAACTGAAGGAGAAATTCAGTCAGTGTGGTGAGTATCCAGTGGCTGCAAATGCGTGGCTCTTTACTGGGAGACCACTGCGTAGGCCCCTGGCTGTGCTGTCCACTTCTAGGCAGTCTGCAGAGTGTGCAAGTCTGAGTCTGCTTAGAGCAATTGCTTTGCTCTCTTCCGACTCAGAGACCTCTAGTAGATAGCGGTGTTTATAGTACCCCTCTTACTGTCTCCTGTCAGGAAAAGCCCCATTGTGTCACCTGATCTTTAAAAGGTCGGTGCCTCATCACCGTTCGTGTGGACCTGGTGGGAGGAGCAGTCATGGCGGTGCAGGGACTTTGCTCTGTGCTTTCCCGAGCTAAGCGGTGTTGCAGGAGAGTGAGGCTGCATGGGGAGGCGAGTGGCCTGGGAACCCACGGCATGCGTGGCGCCAGTGCACTCCTGAGCCTGGGGCAGCTGTCCTCTGGGCAGCCGTGGGCAAGGTGCCTGGCCAGCCTGAGGGCTGGCGAGGGCTTCTGGTGGTGGCTTTGCTATAACTGAAGGGCAGTGTCCTTTTCTGAAAGGACAGTGTCCCCAAGGCTGCATCAGAAAATTTGTACAGTAATTGTAGCCATCGAAAATAATAGTTCTTTTTAAAATTTGTTTCCACTGCATTCTTACATCCATTTTTAATCAGTCTAAGGTTGATCTTGCCTTTTCAATTCTGTTGTGTTTTCTGACTTTTAGATTTTTCTGTTAAGGTAATACCAGACTTACACAACTCCCTATCATTGTCCCCATTTTTGACCTTGAATTGCTTTGATGGCAGAGGAGAGGCTATGATCACATAGAATGAAATGTCCAGTTGTTGATGAGTATGGATATTACCCTGCTTGTGTGAACCAAACCATCCATTTTTCTGCCACATCACTTTATGTGATTTACACACCTTAGATGGTTTTCTTTCTTAGTACGGGGAGTTTGTTTTAACTTGATAAAGCCAGTAATAGGTTCTTCGGCAGTAGAAAGCCCGGGTTTTTTGTTCTTGTGACCCCAAGGTGAGTAAGTATACTGTTCTTCGCTCTCAGTGGGAGTCTGGGGGTGGTCTGTGCATCTCCCCCATACAGCATCTGCCAGGAAGGGGCTGAGGGAATGTCTCCAGTGGAGAACTGCCTCAGTCCACCATTTCCACAGCCTCTATAATTCAAGAAAAAAGCTTCAGAGCTCCTGAAATATAGCGAGGTGAGAAATAAGTGAGTAAATTGTTCTTTTCCAACTCCTCCATCTAATCAGTTGCCCGGAGCTATTGATTTTGAGCCCAGGCTAATAAGACACACATCGGTCCTCCAGTAAAAGAGATCTCTTCATCCTGCCTTACCTGTCTGATTCCTCGGTGGCATGCTTCTTTAACATCTGATATAGATCCACTGCCTTGGCGTTGGACCCAATGTGGGTTCTGCTGGTGCTAATGGGGTCAGGCGGGCATCTTCGGACTCACTCCTCTGTCCCCTGTGCGTGAGCTGTGTACCAGCCTCTGGCGCAGGCATGCAGGCGTCTTAGCACTGTGCAACTGCAATGTAGGCAAACCTGTCCTCAGCCAGACCTGTTCTTGGTCACAGAAACAGAGAGGTGTGCTGCACCCGTTTCTGTGATGGGGTATATTTCTACTGTCACCATGCTGGTCAGCTGTGCCAAAGGGAGGCCAGGGGTAGATCTGTGTTCCAAAGCTCTTAACTACGAAAGTGGCAAGTAGACTTTAAAATACAACAAAGATAATTCGAGGAGTAGAAATAATGTGTGCAGGAAAAAATCATGGATGGAGGTGCTTTGTTTTAGTGTTTAAAGAAGCAGTAAAGCTTTCATTTTTGTCCTTTCCTCATAATTATGCTTCCTTGTGATAGGATGTCTGATTTTGATGTTTTCTTCTGTGGTTATGTTACAGCCTTCCTTAATAGATTTTAGGGAACTATTTATTTACTTGTAAATGCTTCAGTTTGGGCTATTTCAAGATACGTTCTTATGGCAGTGTTTTCCAAAGTATGCCATGTACATGTTTGTAGGCTTCATTAAACAAAAGTAGGATAAGTGACTTGTATAATTAGTATATGAGAGCACAGTGGTTTGTCCTGTACGGTTGCTGAATTATCAGTCCTGTTTCTGTTTTCTTAGACTCACATAAGACCAGTAGATACTTTTATCAGTTGAAGAAAGACTGGGACCATGTAAAAAGGAGGTCAGGCGTGACTGATTTTTAACCACTTAAATGAAAAGAACTTCTCTTGAATAATTTCTTATTAGAAAAGAAAATTTCTTGATTGGCCTTTTTTGTAGGACTAGGGGGAACCTTAGAAAACTGCCACTCTTTTCATGGGGTTTTCTGGGTGGCCTGCCCTGAGACAGGTGTCTCTGGCTGCTCTCTAAGCCCGAGCCTCTGAACCGGGAGGGGGTTCTGGGGTCTGCACCCAGGAATGGTGTCTTCCAGAAAGGGCTGGAGATTGCCATGAGGTCCGCTGCAGATCCTGGAGCCTCTGGGGCAGCGGCAGAGGTGGGAAAAGAGGCAGAGAACCTTGTCCTGGAAGTGAGACTGCGTGGGAGGTGGGGACGTGGCGGCTCTGAGGTCTGGAAGACACCTGGCTCAAGCGACCCTCCTGGGTGCTTATAAACCTATCATAGAGTAGTGAAGCTTAGGGAAACTCCAGGTTTTAGGTATGATTAGAATCAGGGAAAACTTGTAGCTGCAGAGCCCTTGAAAGTTCTTTACAACCCTTTTCAGAACCCTAGTACAGCAGTGCCGTAGCATGCTGCCTTAAGATTTCTGCTCTTTTAGGGCACCAGTGTTGAGGATATGTAGGAGACCCTGGAGGTTGCACTACACCTGTCTTTGCAGTTTAAAAAATACGTGTGTCTCCTAGTTCTTAAGACTTTGAGTCCAAATAGTGATAGTAAACTAGTGGCTTTGGCATTCAGGTTACAAAACAGAATTGGTGGAGCCTTTTCAGCCCAAACGAACTTAGGTTGTGAGGCAGTTACCTTTATTTGTAAGGACAAAGTAGTAATGTGAGGACAAAAGGGAAGAAGAAAGAGAAGACTAAGCAATGAGAAGCTGTGTATTCTAAAGGTAGTTTGCATCATATGTGCAAGTTTGCTATGGCTCATGGTGAGGGGCGGTGCTAGTTACCAAAGCCTTGTTGCAAAAAAATTCACTGAAGAATTAGTAATTTAACAATAATAAAGCATGTTAAGTCTAGGCACATTTATTCCAATCTGTATTTTGTATATGCTAATAAATATTATTTTTTACTGTATGTGGATTGTATTACATTCAGAATATAAAATAATAATATAATTAATTATTTTTATCATTAATGCTGTTTCTAGCCAAATTACTGTTTCATTGGCTGTAAGGAATTTCAAGGCCATATAGTAAAACGACTAATACTTCTGTAATGTTTTCTTTTACAGGCCATGTCATGTTTGCAGAAATTAAAATGGAGAACGGAAAGTCCAAAGGCTGTGGGACAGTCCGGTTTGATTCCTCAGAGTCCGCAGAAAAGGCCTGCAGGATCATGAATGGCATTAAAATCAGCGGCAGGGAGATTGATGTCCGCTTAGATCGTAACGCATGATTTCACTCCATTTGGAACATTCCTTCATTTGTTTTTTGCTGAATCTTTTAGAAATAGTCTTTTTGTTTGTTTTAGTAATATCATATGCTTATAAAAGCTGTAAAAATGAACTTTTAAAATTCCCACCAGCTTTCAACAGTATAATGTTAAAAATATACTGTGACTTTTTTTGTTGTTGTTGTTCATCTTATGTTGGGTTTCTAAAAACAGCACGTCTGGTCATTCAGTTTAAATGAATGGTTATACTGTTTTTAAAGAAATAAGCCATCTTCTCGTTGTTTTCACTAGGCATAGAAGAGTCTGTTTTGGTTGCCCAGCTTTTATCAATTTATTGTGAGGTGAAAGATAGATGGGTTTTTCAAAGCTTTTGTTTTACACTTTCTAGTTGTCCATGAAAAGAAGGGCTCCAACTAATTAGAATATGATTTCAGTTGGTTTTAAAGTGCTTTTCTTTGGCGTAAAGAATTACTTCAAGTGTTAGATTATAAAGTTCAGGATGTTTTTATTTGACTTAAATGAAGAAAGGGATTTTTTCTTCTGTGTTCTCCCATTCCCATTTTCCACATAACACTATTAATAAAATCAATCCCCACAGCCCCTTATTTTATTATTTCCAATGATTCCAAGTTCATATAGAACTGATAGTGTAGCAAGCCCCAGGTACAGTAATAGGCAGACTACACCCAACTTCCGGTCTAGTTTCCAATTATTAAAGTGAACTGCTAGAAAGAGAAAAATAATTGAGACGGTGAGGGAGATGGTGATGTAGGTGAGTCCTCTGCTGTTCACTCCCACGGGGGTGGATGTGTTTACGAATGCAGTTTGAATGAGCCAGGGAACACCCAAGCACAGCATGTCGAACACGTTGGACCCCACAATGTTGGCCATCGCCATGTCTCCTCTCCCTGCAGGCAGGAAGCATTCTGGTAAAGTGTGCTCACCAGTACTGTATTTCATTGATAGCCTTTGTAAGAAAAACACTGGATACTTTTTTTTTGTTTTTTGGTTAGTTTTAGAAAATTGTTATTAGATATTGCATCTTGTTGAATTTGTATTTTAAACTTTTCCTTCGGTTAGTATTTAAAATCTTAACATTTATTTAATAATAATTATTTATTAAACCATTTCGCAACAAGGTATGTAGCTTACTCATTGCTTTTCATTCTGATTTAACTAGTTACTATTTAATGCACATTCCAATATTATTTGGGGGATCAGATTGAGTGAAACTGCTATGGTATTATATAGCAAACTCTTGCCCTTGAGTCCCTTTTTTCTTTCTTAAAAGTATGTTAAATGAGGAAATAAATATTTTTAAAGTTACTTTGACTCAGTGTATTTTAGCCATGCTTATGGAATGGGCACTTTAGCTTGAGTTTGAGGCCCACGTCTTACCTCTTCTGGCCACCAGCACGCTTGCGACTGTGTCTGGGATACTAGTTCCTGCAGCCAGTAGGGTGAGGCCCATCACGGTGTCAGGGACCCGCAGAGTCTCCCCTGTGGGAAGCATAGATGCTGCATATTACACGCCGTTAGAACCTTCACAGACAGTTCCTTCTCATTCAGAAAGAACCACGGGCGTGTTTAGATTATTTCTGCTTTTATTACTAGTACCTATTAATTTTTACAAAATACTAGGTTTTAGTGCATACATTTTTGATCATATCCGCTACACCCCCTTTTTAGATTTCTGAGCCAGTTTCTAAATAGCAAAACCTTTGGAGTCAGGTTGGTAATGTAGGTTGGTAGGTAAGGTGGCAGTACAGATTTTTAAAATACTTGGCCAAACTTTGACCAATGAGGGATCGCCTTATTTTACCCTCCGGGAAGTTATAGTTGTCTGCAGTACTCCCAGTAGGGCTGTTGCTCAGTACATGCTAAGGGGATTGAACATTGTCTTGGTTTCTTTAACATTTTTTAAAGTATTAGAGTTAAAAATAGTATCTATTTTTAAGTTATTAGGTGTGTTAAGATGTATACATTTTTTTAAACTGCTTTAGTGATACAACTTTAGTGTTTCCTTGGTAAAATCTGTATCTCTGATAAAAGTGAAACCTTTTTGCTTTTTACTTATCTCTTAATGTATGGTCTTAAGTTATTAATACTTCTGTTAAATTTGATATCAGTTCAACATTTTTCCTGGAAACATAAACAGGGAAGTTTAAGAAAGGTAGGGAAAGGCACATGTAACTGCTCTTTTAATGTAACTGGGAATGTAGCTAGAATGGTTTTTTCCTTTCAAAATGCTAAAGAAAGGAGCTTAATTAGAAAGCAGCTTACTTTCTGCATGCTTATTGGTACTGAATTGAAATTGGCTGTTAGTTTTCAATACTTGCTGGAGCTCCTGTGTGCATAAATAGCACCATTCTTGATCACCCTGAGGCCCTGTTCTGTGATCTTTACATGATTCTGCTCTCTTCGTGTTTTCTTAATATCAAATGTGATTTGAGAAAGTGGACAGATTTAATATGCAAATTAACTGGACATTTCCATCTTCCTTATTAAAAAAGAAAAATATTCTGCTCTTTGTGATTCTAATACATATATTAACTTAGAAAAGCCAGGGTAAGCAGACTTTGGGAGGAAAGGCAGACAGCAGTTATTTAAACTTTGCAGGCTCTGTGCAGTCACAAAGTACCCCGTGTAGGGTGGAGAACAGTTGCTATGGCGGGCATGTAAGCCACGGGGCTGTGTTCAACACAGCTTCACGGGCAGAAGCAGGCTGGGTGGTGCAGCGCTGGCAGGCCGGACGTCGGACACTGTGACCTGTGCCAGTGCAGCTTAACCTTTGTGAGAGAAACCCCCAACCCTGCTTGTTCTTTTGTCCATATTTTGCATTTTTCATTTGAAAATCAGAGTAGATTATGACCAGGCAATAACGGTGAAGATAGTAGAAACCTAAAAGAAAACTTGTATTTTATGTCCTTTTCCATCATTTTATAGTGTATTTATGTTGCTGTGTTGAAAAGCAGAATCCAGTGGGCATGCACTGCTTTCCCAAGAGCCTGGCTCCTTCTCTGTGTCACTGTGGAGTGCCATTCACTGCGAAGGGCCGTTTACTGTGCACTCCAGACAGTGGGACTTAATTAGTAGCATAATGCATACATGGATTTATTTTACAATGATTCTTTGAATTATACTTCATGCAGTGTAATAAGCAGGGAAAATATAGTTAATACAGCTTTCAAAGTCTGAATGATCTTATATTTATATTGAATATTTTTGTAAATAGCACTTTTTGTCCTACTGAAAGAGAAGTGCACCCTTGATTACTTTAAGCAAACATAATGCAGGTTTTTCTTACATGAAATGGTTTTCTTGTCCTGTTACATTTAAAATACATACCAGTTATAGTGACCATCCAAACCAGGATGTAGGTGAATGCTGATATCCACAGCGCAGACATGAGGAAGGTGATCATGTAGTAGTTTTTCCAAAACTTTCTTCGACAATCTGGTATTGTTAGGAAAAGTAATGTAATGATAGGAAGGGATAATACCCAGCAAATTCTTTTAAAGTCTGCTTCAGGCATGTGGAAAACACTTGGTGGATCTGTTGTGGAAAAATTAAAAGAGTTTTGAGTTTTCTCAAATGGCCAATTAAATCAGAAATGTCCATTTAGAAAGCTATATTGAAATAAATTAGCTGTATCAGTTTTTAAAAGACCACTTAAAGCATTTGAATACCTCATTACTGATATTGCTGGCAAAAAGAAACTAATTGGAATTGTAGGGCAAACAGTGCAAGATGTCACGCTCAGATTTCTTGATTTATGGCCTCAGTTATCAGAATGTCTTGTGCCATTTTCTCCATATGCCAGAGACTGTCCGAAGTGGGAGTTGCTGTTTCTCGTTTCTCTGTAGAGACTGTGTTTAGGGAGCAGATGCTACCTCTGAGCTGCCCTGAGATCATGCACACTCAGAGAATGTAACATCACTATAGCAACGCTTTCAGTAAGTTGCATATTCTACACTAACTTTGTGTGAGTGTTATGGCCAATATCACTGCTTTATTAACTAAATTCAGGTGCCTCGATGAATCTTAAAAAGAACCTTCAGAAACTAGGAATCAGCATATAATCTACAGTGTAATTTAAATGATCTCAGTGTATCCTTTTATTCAGTTTGTTCTGTATTTTAGAGGGCATGGGTAATAATGATACATTAGATAAAAATGGGTATGCATTTTGGAATTGCTTAAAATTTGTATGGCATTTTAAAAATAATGTACTTTTATTGGAGCAAGGCACATTACAAAAAATGCCAGTAAAATCCTGAGTTCATAATGCCTTAGCCATTAGTTTATATAGATAAAATTTGAATGTAATAAAATAACTTGAATGGGCTTTTTTGACTTTCTTGTTATACAACTTATAGACACATACTTATACTTTAAAGATAGAAACTAACTATTGTAAGAAGAGGAAAAAGTAATATTTTAATTCTTTAAAGTAGTAAATTAGAGTGCTTCTTAATAGTTAAAATAGAATCCAAATAGCTAAAACTCAAGAAGTGATTCATCCATTCATACATTCTAGCCGTAGCTGAATTTGACTTCCACTGAGTACAGGTACTTCCATGTTTTGCTACTGCTTCATATGATGGTTAAGTCTTAGCTGTTTTTTTTACCTCTCCCAACCCAGTCCCTTGACTGAGCAAACTCTAGTTTGCTCAGTCAAGACTTCACATCTTGGAGTTAGTTTTCTGTCCCTTTTCTGGCCCCTGCAGTATCTAGGCCACCAAGTCTTGGCCATGCTTTCCTCAGCATTGTCTCAATCTCTTCTCCCTCATGGGCATTGCCTTCCCTCAGAGACACGCCAGCCCTGCCACACCCTCTTGCAAACTTGTCTCTGGCCCTGTGTTTAAGCTTCTGCAAACTCTGTTTTGGGGTGATATTCCTGAAGTACAGCTCTAATCATGTTCCTGCTGGCACGCCTTCCAGGGCTCACGCCCTCCAGGGCTCACACGCTAGCATTCAGGGCCCTGTCACCTTCCTTTCCATTAGCCTTGTCCTGCTTCCTTACCAAGGGTGTGCTGCCTGGGCCTCACCTGTGCAAGTTCTTCAGCAGGCCTTTGGCTAATGTTCCCTTGGCCTCAGTCCTTGGACCGTTCTTTACTTGTATCTATGTCACTTAGGTTGGTACAGATTTTAGTTCTGCTTGCTTATTGCTTACACCATCCTACAAAGCTCAGTTAGATGCTCCTTTCTCTGTTAATCTGTCACTGCCAGATTTTATACAGTCTGTTCCAGTTAGAAACTGCAGGTTATTTTATTGAAGAAATACTGGCAACTCCTTAAGGTCTGGAACGAGATTAGCCCTAAACCCCTGCTGTATTACGTAATCGGTACACAGCAGCCTAACTTGAACTGAGGCTCTCAAGGTGTTCCTGGGGGCAGGCTGTGGTTATTACCTTCTGAAACCTGGCTGAGACCATGCAGACTTAAGGAGAGCTGGGAGTAGCCTGAGTCTTCATAAAAGATCCCGCTGTCGGTTCTCGACCGGCGGCGGATGAACGGCTGGCCCTCGTTTTCCCAGTCCATCAGCGCCTGTGCACCTCTGTCCTCCATAGCGCCAGCCAGACAGGGGCAGCTAGCGTCGCATTTTCTCAGAACGCACTGCCGGATTTTAATGTCAAAACTCAGCGCCAAAACGTAGAGTCCGTATATCAAAAGCAGTGTACTTCCTTCATACCTAGAAATTAAAGAGCAACTTGGTTTTTGAACTTAAAGCAGCAGTAATTTTAGAGTTAATGACTGGGATTGTGCTCTTTCCTTGTTTTTGTTTTTGTTTACCTTGTGCGTGCCAGGCAAGCACTGCATTGGTGAGGCACATCCCCAGCCCTAGTTAGTACCATCCTTTTTGATAACATTCTAACAAAAGCAGCATTAATCCAATATTTGTAGATATTTTTGTTATGCCACTGACCTAATTTTTAAGAGTTCTTATCTTTAAGAAATATGTCCTGAAGGGCTGGGGATTTAGCTCAGTGGCATAAGTACCTGCCTGGCAAGCGTGAAGTCGTGAGTTCAATCCTTGGTACCAAATAATAATAATAATAATAATTGGAGATTTTCAAAATAAAACTAAGGAGTCGTAATGAGCATTTTTTTGTTGTTGTTTTTGTTTGTTTGTTTTTTGGTCTGCTTGAGGCAGGGTTTCACTTATATGGTTAAGGCTGGCCTTGAACTCACTTTGTAGCCAGGCTAGCCTCACACTTGGGGTGATCCTCTTGCCTCAGCCTCCCGAGTGCTGGGATTACAGGTGGGTGCCACCACACCCACCTGTAATGAGCATTTTCTACTTCAGTTCTTTGATACAGTTAATTTCCCCATACATGTAATAATTATAAAAGAATTATTTCAGCTGTGCCTATTTGAGCTTTTTATTCTAAGAACTTTGTGAAACTGTTTAGAATATGTTACACGGGGGGGGGGGGACTTTTTAGTGGCCATACTGAGATTTTTTTATTTTATTGTAACTGAATTGGGCTTACACTGACAAGGAAACAAAGATAACCTTAGCCATTGCCCCAGAGGCCCTGAGAATTGTTTCCCCTTCCTCCGGCTTCCTAACCATCTGTGGCCAGCTCATGGTACGGCATCTGGACCTGTCGGTGCAGAGCTGTGAAAGCCTCTGCTGCAGCTGAGCCAACAGAGCTCTTCATTTTCCTAGTGTGGGGCATTCACTGGCTCGGACCCTTTAGTCACTGGCCCTTACAGACTGCTGATTCCAGAAAGATCCTTTCTGGGCTCACACGAGCTGCATCAGGATGACTCACTCAGCTGTCATGTTCCCTGCTGGGTTTTAAGTTTCTGGATGGCAGGTATCATCTGGTGCCGCAAAGCTTCTCGATCACTGAGCACGCTTCTCCTTGTTTTCTATTTCTCTCCTGTGCTCCAGAGTTAATATAAGGCACAGCATGTGTGGCTGTGTGTTTTACTGTCTGTCTTTCAGATGCCCAGAATAATGGTGGACACCTAATAGATGTTTGGTGTGCATTTGAAAAAATTTGTATCTGTTCACAGTCACTGTCATTTTCATGTTTTTGTACCAGCGGTGCAGAGAGAGATTACAGGAGAACAGACAGATTTTAATGCTGACTGCTGAATGCTGGCTCCTAGAGGAAGAAAGCTGTACACTTCTTCCCGCTAGATGAACATCCAAGAGAAATTGGCAGGGACGTATTTCACTTCTTTTACTATCTTTTTTCCAGTCTTTTGTGGCCATGACCGCCTCTCTCCAAAGCAAGGTAAGCAATAACCTAGCAGAAGAAAAGCCAACAAAAATTGGGGAAAATTTCTGGACAGCCAGCTGATGGAGAGGAAAAATTGATGGTCTCCAGTGAATCATGAGAAAATACAAGACCGTGAGGTGACTAAAAAAAACCAAAAGCAAAAAACAGCATCAGGCCATGAGGGGAACCCACCGGCAGCTGTGAGGAAGGTAGAACATTCCAGCAACTGGGAATAAGGAGTGGAGGGGGCATATCATTGAGAAGTGGCAGGATGGCATCTCTGCATAAAGGTGCCCAAGCCATTGGACTTCATGCTCTAGTTAGGTTTTATAGGGGAGTCACAGTAATTTTGCACTTACCAGTAAACTTTGTTGTCAAATATTATGGCAAAAAGTGCTGCCGCGCTCACAGTGTACGCTGTGCAGTCCCTGAACAGAGGCCAGCAGGACAGTGGTGAGACCTGTGGACGAGAGCAGCTTGTCCCCACTGCTGTGGGCAGGGAATCCAGCATGGGGGGTGGTACACTGCTGAGGCCATTTGCATATTAAAGCTGTTACCTTTTGTGTATTGCTTAGAGAGAAAGAAATCTGGAGGAATAATTGTTTCTAAACACACCCTGACTGATACCAATTGGAACAGGAACTACCAGGTTACCTAAATTGCATAAGTGCTTTTCCACTGATTAAATGCGATTGATGTATTACTAGTGGCTTGTTGCTCATCCCGGACAATGAATTACTTTTATAACTTGTCAAGATGATACGCTTTATTGAGTAAAGTCTTCTTACATACCACGTTAGAGAGCAAGCCACAGGCTGCACAGATGCCAAGGAGATTATAGATGGCAGATCCGAGAATAGTGCTAATGCCGATGTCCCCCCTTGTGATGAATACACCTGTTGGTAAGAGGGCAGCTGCAAGTTAGTGCTCACCTGAAGAAAATCAAATTACATCCAGTAAGCAGAAAGAGCCACACTCACCCAGGAAAGCGGTCACCAACTCAGGAGCTGAGCTCCCCGCTGCCATGAACGTCGCGCCTGCCACATCCTGAGATAATCCAAGGGCTGAGGATACATGAAATGATTATTGTGCCCGAGGAAGGAACAAGCGAAAGGATGTTTTCACAGCTGAATATAACAGACATGCAAGGCTGTAGCTTCACGTAAGACATATTAACATGAGATTTAGCTACACAAAGACTGAGCTGGAAAGTAAAATGGGAGGGTTAGAAAAAGAATAATCTAGTGCCCTGCTTTCTTCATGGAGCCCAAACTGAATGCTCTACAGGAATGGGGAGACACCACCGGGGGGCCACTGTGCTATCCTGGTCACCAAGATTAGGGCTTGTTTCCAACCCAGCTGACATTCCCAGCTGTAGACGAGGAGGAGCAACACCTTTAAAACTAAGGTACCCCACTGGAAAGAAGAGTGCACATTACTACTTAAGATCTTTAGGTGAAGCTGAATTGAGCTTGTTCACAAATCTGCAGTGTCCACTGTTGTAGATTTAAAAACTGGTGTTCAGCTTAATACCAGCTGAATTAAATCAGCATGGTGCTGAGTGTAGATGGCCACCGGGGGAGAGTTGCCAGCGTAAATAGAGACGTGGAGAGGAAGAGCGACACACTGGATTCTCCTAAGTGGTGGTCTTTGGAGCCATTGGTTCTCCTGGAGGAGCTAGCTCATCATGACGAGCTTCCCCAGTATGAGTTTGGCCACTGTCATCACAGGAGCTTGAGACCTTGGTGGTGAGAATGGCTGTGGTTCACTTTGGGAGAGCTCTGGTCCTTACATTGAGCATGGCTTCCTGGCTCCGGAGGGGAAGATGTATGCTGTTTAATCTTCAGGAGAAGCCTGTCACACCAGCTTACTGGCAGGTACTCAACTGTTCTCATCTGAGGAGCTCGGGACCTCCTTGTCACTGAGGATGGCTGTGGTACTTTTCAGGACAGTCCTGGGCCTTATTTTGAGCATGACTTCTTGGCTCCAGTGTAGAACCCTCATCCTATCAACACAGCTCCACCCCACTGGCGTAGACTTTTTAGCTTCCACCACTGACCTTTGGACCTTCCCAGGGCGGATCCATAAAATAGACTGGCGTGAATCCTCGTTTGGGCTCTGGGCCTCCAGTTGGCCTCGTGGGGAACACTGTCATGGGTCTTCATCTGGACTCATGTGGGACACTGCTGTGGGCTCCAGGTCCTTGGCTCTTAGTTTGCTGGACCCTGGTGTTTTCTTCTGTCCCTGTTCCAGTGGTGTGTCCCTAGGTCTTTAGTGTTGTGGACAGATTTCCTGCACTTTGTTGTGTTTAACTCTGGGTGACCATCGTAAAATAATAGTATAAATCCTGTGTCCTTACTCTTGATGGTTCTCACAACCCTGACTACAGCATCCACACTAATTACAAAGTACTTAATATCTAATACAATTTAATTTTAAATATTGTATAAACATTTAAAACATTGATCTATTAAAACTCTTAAGAAACGCAGGAAGACACAGTGCCACTGTTTGAATAGTTGTGTGTGTATCCTCTAGACTTGATAAGTTGCATATGCTTTAACTTAGCCAGTGCCACGAGACTCAGTATGGTTTTGGGCCTTTTGGTGTTAGAGCGGCGAGCTCCACTGTGTGAAGGGGAAGAGGAGGCCATGCTGAAGACGTAACCTCAACTCTGCTTTGGGGAGGCTTTGGCCAGGCTGCCCTGGAAGTCCAGCTGGGCTTTCTGCAGACTGGAGGCCAGCTAGAGGCCCCCTCTCTCCCCAGGTTACGGGTTCCACTCCTGCGCCTCTTGGTCGCAAACTGCTGATTACTGTTGTTGACTGTATCCCTTTGGCTCTTCATTTGCTGGACCCTGGTGTTTTCTTCTGTCCCTGTTCCAGTGGTGTGTCCTGGTCTTCATCTTGGGGACCAACACCCACTTCCTCCTTGGGTGCGACCCTGGCCTTTGACCTTGCAGATTGCGTTTTGTTTCTTGATAGGGCAGATTGAACTTTACACAACAGGGTACTGAGGCATTTTCACCCCATGTGTTTTTCCAGGACCTTTCTACACTGTGTTTAAACAGAGGCCCAGCACAAACTCAGTGGGCAGAGCGCTTCTTTAGAAAATGAGGCCCCAGGACCCCAGAAAAAACAAGGAATAAATAAGAGTCTCCTGCGGAGCCTGAGTGAACTTTTGTGACAATCTGTGATGTTTCTGAGTATGGGACATTATGTGGGCAGTGATCACTGTTCTAAGCCACTGGTTTTGGACTTACTTGTTAATTATCTTTGGCTCCATAGATAACTGTCTGGCTGTTGTTTATTTATATGTTACACTTCCTCAATCTACTATGTGGGGTGCTTCTTGTTGTGCTAGGAATAGGGCACTCAACCAGTGTTCCTGCCCTCGAGGAGCTTTACTTCTAGTGGGAAAAATACATAGCCAGGTATAGAGACAGGTCAGGGAAGAAGACGGCTGAGCTGCTTTGCTGCCAAAGGAACTTCGACTGTGAAACATTCTTTCGAGATGGGATTGTTGAGTCCGGGGGGCCTCTGACCACAGCCTGACTGTTTGCTGTTGGCTGTGTCGCTTGAGCATCTGTCTGCAGTGTGACGGGGAAGCCTGGTGTAGCTTGCATTGCATCAAGTTTCTTTCCCAAGTGATTATGAAGATGTGAGGCATGTGCCTTCTGCTCCCGCAGGCCCCATGTCCTCAGACTCAAGCACTCCATGTGGCAGACATTCAGAGAGAAAACCACATCTGTTCTACACAGACTTCTCATGTCTTTGTCTCCTAAATGACCGGGTGAAACAGCTACAAACTAACCTTGCTGTTGTTTGGGGTATTGTAAGTGAGTTAGAGGTGATGTAATGCTAAGGAAGGAATGCAGGTTATATAAAAATAGGGTACCATGTTATAGAAGCAACTCGAGCACCCCAGAGCTGGGGATCATCAGAGGGGTCCTGGAATGAGCCCCTTGTGGTACCAAAGGAGGGCTGTGCTATCTTCATAAAACCACTCTAAACAGTGTGCGTGCATATACATATATAGTATATAGACACACTTATATACAATATACACATTTGTGTTACAACTCTGACCAACTGGCCATAAAATTTAAAAACAGTTCCTTTTAATATATATATATATATATATATATATATATATATATATATATATTTTGTAGCATTTTAATAATAAAATAATCTGGTTACATTTACTACCTTGTATTTTGCCTGAGCTATGAAGGAATGCATTCCAAAACACCTGTAGAGAACTGATTCTGTGGAAGACAGGACCCCTTGTCCTCAGTCTAACGGCGGTAACAGTAGAGTGAAGTCCGCCTGACCATAGCCTTAGTATCCACAGGACACTTGACCTCTGGCCCTCACAATTACCTGGCCACAGCTTGCCTGGAGTCAGATGATGGGATGCGAAACTAGATCCACTTGACATCAGAAAGCTGGTTAATACCCAGCCACATCACGCTCCCTGCCTTAGCAGCCCGGTAACTTACAGGCTGCTCCATGCTCCATTAGATCTGAGTGCGTGGTGTGGCTTTAAATTCGAGCCAAGGGGACCACGCTTCAGATCAGAGGACAAAGAACAACAAAGAAAGCTCAGCCTCTCAGGAGCCCGCGTGCCCGGGTAACGGGCAAAGCTCGCGTCTGAAGCCTTTGTGCCCTGGGAAACTTTGACCTCTGTAAATTTCATGAGGATTAAGAACTAAACAATCTCCTGAAACTACAGGTATCCAAATGCCACACTTAAGAGTTATTCCGTTCCCAGTTTTGTCAATTTAGAACCGATTCCACCTAGAATTAAAACTTGTATTTTCTTTTCCATATTTCTGAATCATAAAGTATTAGAGAAAGTGAAAATAATTTTCTAAATGCCAACATTTTATGAAGCTGTGTTTCCTCCCATTCATATTAAAATCGTTTGCTTAAGTATCAGCATGGTGCATAAATTGGAATTTCTAACCTAATAGCTTATTATCATGATATTTAAAAAGAGGTTCTTGGGTTTGTTTTACGTAGCTATCTTGGGAAAATCGACAGAGAGCTGCTGCAAACAGGTTCAAAACTCTGAGATGCCCTTTTCCAAGTCAAAGCGTACCGTTTTCTTTACACTGAACATAAAGATAAGAAGTAATAGTCTTGTTTGGGTTTTAATGAAGTTATCATATATTAGGTTATACTTGAAAATAATTTAAAAGTATCACTTTTGAAATAATTAAGTATTTTTAGAAATGGACTAGCATGATATGGATACTAATGTAAGATAAAAGGAACTTTAAACAAAATATTTTAGCAATATAAGGTACAGCTGCTATGTGGATTATCTAGACAGACACAATAAAGGGTTCTATAAGCTTACTACCTACCTAGGGAAACAGTACTTGCTTTTATTTACCTTAAACTAGGTTTCACGCTCTGGCAGACATCACAGATTTGCTATTTGCTTTGGTCATATTTGTATTAGCTTTGATCATGTGCCTTATCCACTTTCCTCTCCCCTGGGTGAAGGTGTCTAACCTTAGTCTGCGCTTGAGTTACAGTGAGCATTCGATGGCTATTTCCTGTGTGTGAGGTCCTGAGTGAGTACTTCCGTGGCATTTGCTCATGCACTTGGGCAACAAACTCCTGGGCAAAGAACTCCACTTACCCTGTTTCCCTGATGCCAAAGCTGGGAGAGAGAGAAACAGAGCCCTCGCCCAAGGTCTGTTAGTAACTGGCAGAGCAGGGACTGGAACGTGGTCCCAGAGTGGACACTATGTCCCAAATAGATTGCTAGTGTCATGTGCCGCTGGAGTATATGGTGGCTGTGTTCCTCCCTTCCGGTCCTACGAGGAGTCTCAGCATTGTCACAGAGCAGTCAGCAAGCAGGTTAGCTCAAAGAGCCAGAAAGGGCTAGAAACACCCAAGCAAACAGTACCAGTTCTGTCCTCAAGGTCATGGGACTCACTTCGCAGACCAAGCACGAGGATCTTGGGCGAAGGTTATAAAGTCACGCTTACATACATGAGCGAGACCACAGGGGCTGCTTCCATTCCTTACAGCCCGGAATTCTCATCTCTGTTCCTCCGAGCTTCTGCTGAGCAAGAACCTAGAGCGCACAGCTGACGAGAGTGAAGGATGTTGCCTGGGCTTCACTGCTTATCCCATTACCTCTGGATCCCTGGGCTTGAACCCCTAAGCACATAACTCGTTTCCCAGAACCTGGTTTTGCAGATTAAGGTGATAGAAAAATGTCTCAATCTGCCCAGTAGAGATATGTGCAATGCTTTTCCAGGGTTGAAGGGCAGAGAGGAGGCCATGCGACATTTCTGATCGCAAGTACAGCAAGCAGGGAAAACCAGAATCCTCACTAGAAGGATCTGCTGGCAGCGTCTCTGAGAAGCTGCTGGACCACTGTGCATAGGCTGGGCTGAGCGGGGGCACTGCTAGGTTACTGGCAAGAGCCTCTGCCCTCCACAGTTTCCGGTTCTGCTCCTGCATGGGGACTCCACTCCTGAGCCTCCCCTTGCTAAAGGTTCCCTAGGACCCTGAGCCTTCATGGTGATGTGAAGGTGGAGGGACACAGTGATGGGGCAGGGGTGGGCCAGTGGCCTACAAGCCCATCCTGTTCCTGGCTGGAACTCAGAGCACTATCCGCATCACAGGTGATAGTTAGGTGCTTAGCGCTATTCTAGGATCTTATGTACATTTCAGACAAAATGTGTAGGCCTGAGAACCCAATTATTATGGAGGAAGTGTTTATAACATTAATTAAAGCCCTGTATAATGTTGCCAAGAGTCTAAACTGGCTCTTAAATGATTTCACATAGCCTCTATTGTATACTGCCCCATAGTCACAGTGGGGATTTGATATATGTTTTTGTCAAAATTTTCAGTGCCTTTGAGAGGAACACATCGTAAACTTGCTTGATGGCAGCTAATCTCAGACAAGGAAATGTAAAATTACACAGCAGTAAAGATCCCGCTTGAATGTTGACATTAGACAGGTGAAGATTCTGCTGAGCACAGGCTCTCCTCATTCCCTGATCATTTTCTCATAAGTAGAGTCAGTATGTTACACAGTCTGCGGGATTTCGGGGACGTACAGTTACCTGGGCACACATCACACTATATGCATACGTTTATATGGGCACGCACTACACTAGTTCTGTAATTGTATCACGATAAACAGCTGACCAGTTAACTTCAGCCCACTGTGGGGTGTCTCACCAAACTGCTTTGAGGATGACATTAACAATTATTAGCTGATAAAATGAGCAAAGTATTACAACTCAGTGCTCACTGAAGAGCTGCGGGAAGGGGCCATGTCTGCAGACTCTTCTGGCGCCAGTTTCCGTGGACGGAAACACATGGTGGGGAATCATTTTACTGCTGCTGTCACAGTTTGGATGAGACCAGGCTAGACCTTGAAGAGAGACAGGGCAGAATGAACACGTAAGCATTTAGAAATGAATTGAGCTAGCAGGGTTTCAATCTCGTTTGTTGCCAGTTTTCAGAGGCAGGCTCAGTTCATAACAACCTGACGGTGGCATGGGGTCCACAGCCACAGTGTGTGTAACAGCTACTGCATTTTAGTCTGTGGCGTGGAGATTTGCTGGAGAGACATGTTTGCTGGTACTGTCCCCCGGGCAATCCCACAAGTGGCAAGACAGAAGTCATTAGGACAGGCATGTGAAATCTCTTAACGAACATTATTTTGAAGTCATAATCTAAATTGAAATGCAACAGTTGCTTCTGTAGGCTAGAAAAGCTATCTCCACTTTTAAGAGGACTTTGTAAACAAAATTTTTCATGGAATTTTTCCTTCAGTCCTGCCATTGTTTAGGGCAGTCATGGTTTAGAACGTGTGGAGTACTGTGGAATTTAGATTTCTTAATGGTATAGTGAAATTTAGTTAAATTTTTAGTTGTTTATACTTTTCTGATTAAATGTGTGGTGCAGACATGAATAAATTTTTTAGAATAGGGTTGGGATAAAGAAGCAGTTACAAACATATAAACCAAGTATTTGAAAATTGGTCAGCTTGAAAAATGGTCTTATATTCCATAAGAAGACAAGATTTTAAGATGAAGAAATAAAAATAGGGGAAAATGATAAGGGAAAGAAAATAAGAACCTGGAGACCATATTCTTGAGTGACATAAATCAGATGTGTGTAAACACCGCTTTGTTTGTCCAGTGTGAGAAATTGAAAGTGTAAATAAGGACCAAAATAGATAATAGGTATCATGAAATACAAAGAAAATGTTCAAATTCGAGGAGGACCAAGAGAGGGAGGAGGGAAAGTGAAGAAGGGAAAAGGAAAAAAATGAGAAAAGAAGGAAAAAATGGAAACAAAGCTTTTTTGAGTGGGGAGGGAAGAAAGGGTCAGGGAGGGGAGAGGAAGGGGAAATAAAGAGAATCAAATCATCACGGACAGTTACAGATTCCCTGTGATGAATGTGATTATGTAGACCTAAAGTGTACCAAGGAGAAACCAGTAAGAGAAGGAGACGGAGAGGAGAATGGAGCAGAAAAGAAGTTAGGATGTGTCATGTATAGGCACCAACTCCCCAGAAGGAATGTGAATAGGTTCTAATAAAACGCTCTTTCAAAAAGAAAACATAACTTTTAGTGCCTAGTGATAAAAAGATCTAAGTAAAAAGCCACAAGGAAAGTGATTAGAGATTTATAAACCTACTTAAAATATTTAAAGTTCAATGTGATTGACCCAAAATCAAAAGGCAACAACAAACCATGAAAGATCATACAACACAGAAATTATGTCAGAAAATGTTTATATCTTAAGTCTTGAAAAATCAATGAGCAATACTGATTTTTTCTTTCTTCTCCCATAGAATATGAGCAAAATAGCACAGAAATCAAAGCAAATTTCAACATATAAAATATTCAGCCCCATAAATAAGAGGATAAATACAGAGTTTGCAGAATGAAGTTCTAGTTTACAGTAATTGAAAAGCATATTAAAAATAACATTTTCTCAAGTGGAGACTGTGTATATCAAGGAGGTTTAAATCAGCACACCCTCCGAGGGAGGCTTTTCGGCACTTACGAGGCTTAACATAGTTGACTCTACCTCCCCATCAGAAATTCACCAGAAAAGAATGTACATAATTTATACAAGTATGGGCATAATAGTATTCAAAACAAATCAAATGTCCAGAGTAACTGTAGTTTAAAATGATATGTTTCTAGTGGAGACTTGCAATATGTGAAAACCCTTTCAGGTGTTCACATCGTTTATTTATTCTGACTGTGAAAATCATGTATTTGAAGAGTAACTATGGGAAGAAAAGTGCATAATTGAATATTTTTTTATTTTATTTTTTTGGTACCAGGGATCAAACTCACAACCTCATGCTTACCAGGCAGGCGCTTATGCCGCTGAGCTAAATCCCTGGTCCGAAATTGAGCATTATGTGAGGAAAAGTAAAGATCTCAATCTCTTTCTCTCCCTCCTTCCCTTCCTCTCTCTCTGTCTGTGTCTCTCTTTGTTGTATCTGTCTCTGTCTCTTTGTCTCTCTCTCTCTCTATATATATATATATACACACACACACATATACATACACATATATATATATATATATATATATGTTTCAAAAGACTGAAAAGAATACTATATGCCAACTTTTAACTGTGAGGATTTTGGGCTGGACATATATAGGTGGGATTACCATTTTCTTCCCTTTTAAGAATTTTTTCATTCAGTGAACAAAAAGCATGTTAAGGTAATTTAACACACATCAAAATTATCAACACCAAGGTGAAGTATGTAAGTGTAAAAATGTATGTTTGTGTTGACTCCAGTTAATTAACTGCAGTAAATTGTTACTGTCTCTAGGCTCTGCTGCTGTAGGGTCTAAGTACAGTGCCTTCCCGCTGTGAGCAAGGGAACGACTCAGGTGCTTTGCAGTTCAGTGGGGCTGGGAGATGGGGTGGGTAAAGCAAGCGTGTGTGCATGTGTGTGCGTGTGTGTGTGTGTGTGTGTGTGTGTGTGTGTGTGTGTAACAGAGAGAGATGGACAGACAGAGACGAGACAAGGAGACAGAGGGAGAGAGATGCTGGTGTTTCTGTGCAATCCCAAGAACCTGAAATAGAAAACCCAGTCCTTCAGTTTGTCTTGGAGATGAGCACCAGGTCATCAGGAGACAGAGTCTGGCAGTGCGGGTGTGTGTTTTGTTTTTGTTTTTGCACTGATATCCTGGGCGCTGCCTGCGGCTGGAGGCCTAGAACTCAGGGCCTTGGATGGCAGATCCTAGTTTCAGAAACTGGAAATAAAGCTTAATTTTTAACAGCTGCATTCACAGTTCTATGCCTGCGTCACTCCGATAGGATGTAGGATTCATTCTCTCACTGGCTCTTAGCTATCCACTCATGTCCTTAACGGCAGGGTGGGAAGAGGAGGCCTTAGTCTCACGTGCTCATCATCGAGCTCTTTAAATAAAGTTTTGCTGTTCTGAGAACAAACGTGTAAGATTTTTCAAAGTATCAAGTGGTAAGGACCAGCAGTGGCACCGTATTTAGGAGTACAACTCAAGTGCATGAATGTGAAATCCTGGAACCGGCCGGATGGTGCGCGGGAGGTTCCTGGAGATTGGCAGTGTGTGTGGCAGCATCTGGAGGCTCTTGACTCCAGTCCCTCCCCAGAGGAACCGCACCCAGCTGGCTCCCTAAGACTTGGGGCCTCACAGCACAGATGTGAGCACTCTGCACCCAGTCGGGACTGAGGTGAGCTGCTTTAAGCACACCTGGCCACACCCAGCCACGCATCCAGCTCAGAAGGCAACTTACTTTCACTGATGATCTCCAGGGCGGGCAGAAAGTACTGGTCACAGACGATGGACACGGCCAGGAACATGTAAAGGATGATGAGGAGGTAGATGACCACACCGCCGTCTGCACGCTCCTGCGGTGTGAAAAACCCTTCGGGAAACTCGGCCGAGGGGGAAAGCACGCACTGGGTGCTGTTTCCTAGAGAGGGGAAGGAGGGGACAGCGTGGTGATTGTTGGAGTCACGAGATGCAAGCTCACAGGAGCTTTCCCTTAAGCCGGGCTGTATCTGGGTGGAATTTTAAGACCCATGTGAAAGCCTCTACGGCCCTTCTGAGTGTAGTGAAGCCCGAGAGCCTTAAAGTAATCGGCCTTTGGGGTTGGAAGCTGTATTCAGGAACAAACTGATGATGGAAGATTGAAAGAGAGGAAATTATTCAATCGCTTTTTGTGTCTGTACTTAGAAAGGAATTTTCACCCCTCTGCCACTCTCAGTAGGAACTGGGTCTCTGGTAAATAAATATTTCTAGTCACTAGTTCATCTTCTCATCTCAGAGCCTAAGCTGTCCTCAGGCCTCTGCAAAGAACCGTCTACCGATGGCCGAGGTTTGAGGGTGATGGATTTTTTTTCAAACAATAAAACCAGAGACTTGCCTAACCCTTAATGGCTTGAATTATCACAGAGCTATCTTGAAAAGCTTCCCAGAGGGAGCATAAATGTTGACTGTCCTTGCTGAACGCTAAAAATCAGAGCCAACTCAGCAGGAAAGAAGCAAGAGTCTCGGGTACATTTCCCTCACCCTGCATCTGAACCCCTGCAGTTGGGAACAAACCAGCAGGTGCAGTTGGCCGCAGAGGTGCCTACCTGTGGCCCTTGGGAGACGCTGAGGCAGGGAGGCTCCCGGGGAAGGCAGGGGTCCTATGGCTCCCAGGATGCTGAGCACCAGGGCCCTCCTGGCCCACGCTGGGCCCCGGTTCCTCTGCATTTCTGCTGCGCTCTATCTGGAGCTGGCAACCCACGAAGGGGGAGAAAGAGGATTCGCAGAGTCATGTGAGGAGTCTCCTTCCTGCTTCCCAGGCTCTGCCCGGGGCTCATCTCGGTGAGGCCAGCACGGGGGTGAGGGTGACTGGAGCCAGCCAAGCTTCTCTAATCAGGAATCCCAAGCCCCAGGAGGAACCGGGGAGGAGAGCTGAGGCGCATTCTCTCATGGGTCCCCAAGGTTCTCAGAGCTCAGGGCAGACCCAGGCAGCCTCCTCAGCCACTTTGCCTCCTGCAGCTTTGGGCTTTCTCTAGATTTGTACAGAGCTATTGCAATGGTTTCCACCCCTCTCTCCCCAGTCCTTGCTCCTGGGAAGAGCCGGGGCCCGTGCCTGTGCTTTCCTTGACTGAGTCGGCTTTCTTTTGTGGTTCTGCTTTGGCTTCTTAGCTTCACTGCCCCATAGGGCTGGAGGTAGGAAGTCGGTGAGGAGGAGACTGCAGTAACCTAGCAGAGAAGCAGCAGTGACTTCAAATGAACATGGTGGCAATGTGTGCGGGGGGGGGGGGGGGATGCAGGGAGGCCCAGAGATTCAAGAACTACCTCGGAGACAGCAGGGATGATGCTTGGTCATTAATTGTCCATGCTTCCTGCAGGAAGGAGCCATCTCAAAAGCAAATTAGACAAATCAGATAGTGTTCAGCTAGGGACAGCTGTCTTCCCTACTCTAGCAGTGATGTTTGCTAGTTTACTAAGGACTTGTGGCAGCTTTGTAACTTGTGGCTAATAGCACAAGTCCTGGAGCCAGCCTACACGATTCGAATCCCAGCACTGCTATTTCCTAACTGTGTGACCGTGGGCCAGCTATTTAACCTTTCTGCTCTTCCGTTCCGTTATCTCTTGGGTCATTTTTCTTTGGTTTGTGGTGAGCACTGCACACATGAACACACATAGTCTATTTAGCACAGCCTCTGCCGCGTGAGCTGTATTTACCCCTTTTTCATCATTGATTAGTCTTGATTGAGGTAAAAGCTCTTTCGGTCATAAAGGAATTTTGTACTTTTGCAACCTTCATGGTTCCTTTGCTCTGCAGACAAGCATAAAAATGGATGTGCCTGCTGAATTTCAGGTTTCACACCTGAGTTTATCTGGTGGAAAGGGATAAGTTGCCTCCTGATCTTTGTGATCTTGGCTTGGTAAAAATTCTCCAACTCTTGTTTCGTTTCCTGTTATAAACTTCTCAGAAGCTGTCTTTTCTAGGAACTGGAGACCCAGATGTGCGGTGAGGGAGGACAATGAGTCATCAGTGTGGAGCCCAGGGACAGCAGATTCTCAGCAGGCAGAGTCCCCACTGTCCATGCTCCTGTACCCCTGGGCTGTGGCCACCAGTGTGACTAAGACGAGAGCAAGGAGCCACTTTGCTTCATGCTGAGCAGCTGTGTGAAATAGCGCTTTGGTAGTACATACAAGGAAACACCACACAGAAATAAAATGTCCACGGTTACAAAAACAAACCCCCAGAGCAAACTTCTGACCACAGCTGCTAACTAATCTAAGAAAGGGGACGAGTGTCAGAAGGTGGAGCTCAGTGACCACAGACATGCCCTGCACGCAGTAGGTGCTCAGCCAAGACTTGTAAACTGATGACACCACAGTGATTCTTGCAAACTCAATCCCAGAACACATGTGGAAAAGACATCCTCCTTTTATATGTGGCTTTATCCTGAAAGGAGGCCAAGTCCATGTGTTTCACACATTTATTCCTTATTCTGCAAAAGGATGTTAAAAATCTATCAAAACACATTTTTAAAAAGCTACACAAAACACACATGCAGGTCTCATATTATTCTTTTTATGAAGTGAGGATCCTTATCAAATACCGCATGTTCAGGAATAAAGCTCCATCAGCTAGCCTATGTCTTCATGTGCCTAGACTCCACTCCTTCCTTAAAGTAACACTGCACCTGGCTTGCACAGTAGCCACCTCGTGTGTGTGTGTGCACCCATGCATGTGTGTGTAAGTCTTTCCCCTGGTGCATGTTTAGGATGCTATACTTTTGTCTTAAGAAGCATTTTGCAAATTTCCTTTAGGCTGCAGGACTCCTCATTCCTATTCTTTTCCTGGTAACTCTTGGGAACCCCAGGACAGTTGATCTGTACAGTTGCCCAAGTCCTGATTCTGATGACCATGACCTTGTGGTACAGAGTCCAGTATGTTCCTGTGTTTTCTAGATTTTTGTACAAGGCTTCTTTGCACTCTGTGCTATACCTTTGGCAGACTGTAGGTGGCGCATTCTTACACGGGAAGCACATGGGGCCTGCTGGTCTCTCTAACAGGAGCAGCCATTCCCGCCCATTCATTACCTAGACTCCTGAGTTCCTTGGGGTTGGCAAGGTGTGGCCTGCTAATGCTGGAATTTCATCTTCACTTAGCAGTTGGGGTAATTTACAAACAAATGCTTTCCATCATTTGCTTTTTGGATACCCAGGGGTGCTCAGGTTATACAAGAAAGATAAAACACATGCTTAATTCTTTCCTGTTATTTACCAGTTTTCCAGACAATTAATTGGTTTCCAATTTTCTTCTAAAAGCAACCAATTAGATTTTAAAATGACTATGAATGAATGGACTTAATTGTAGATGATGGGTTACAGTCAGTTGTAATTATTATCCTTTATGAAGATCAAATGGTCTCGTCTTTAGCCAGTGGGGACCTCTTCAAGTGATTTCTGAGTGCCTTGTCATGATCCTGATTGTCTTTGATAGTTTCCTCATCATCTGGTATAAAAAGTTGTACCAGGATTATGTTCTATATGAACTAGGCTACTCCTCCAAAATACCTCTTTCTGTTTTCTTTTTTTTCATTTGGAAAGTACTTTAAGACCACAATCTAAAAATCTGCGTTGCTAGAGATGCTCTTTGCTACTGAGTCGGTCATTGCTTATACCCCCGTGACACACGCATCACACAAACACACAGATGTCCCTGCATCTGAGTAACATCATTCAAAGTTTATACGATAATTCTCATTCAGATTGAGAGCTATCCCTTCCTATTTTAAATTGAGCTTTTTCCTGTACTAATATAGTTCCTCTTTCTTTCATATCAAAGGTTCTTGTTCTCAAAAACACAAGAGATAATAAAATGAGAAAATCTATTATTTTATAATTACTCATTTACTGGTATGATATTACTGGTTCAAACATTTAACATAACAATATGGATCCTACGCTACTTGTTGAGAAGAGCTGAACATCTTTCTGTACGCTCTTGGATTTTTCCCTCCATGTTAAGAGTTGTGGTTTATCTATATTTCCTAAGCATCCATCATTAAATATATTGCTTCTCACAATGTATCAGCATCTATGCGACACAACAAAAGCAGTTCTAAGAGAGAGATTTATGGCTATGATTGCCTACATTAGAAAAGCAGAGTGATCTCAAGTAAGTAACCTAATGATGCATCTCAGGGTCCTAGAAAAATGAGAATAAAACAAACCCAAAAGGAGTAGAAGGAAAGGTAATAAAGCTAGGAACTGAATTAATGGGAGGCTAAAAGAGCAATAAAAAGACCAGTGAATCAAAGAGTTGTTTCCTTTGAAAAGATAAAAAGATTGAGAAACCCTTAGCCAAACTAACGAAAAGGGAGAGAAGACCCAGGTTGATAAAATTAGAGACAAAAGGGCAGTAGTACAACAAACACCACTGAAATCTAGAGGATTATTACAGACTATTTTGAAAACATATAAAAATAAATTGAATAGAAGAAATGGATACATTTCTGGGCACATATGACCTACCAAAATTGAACTGAGAAGATACAAAAATCTAAACAAGTCAATAACACACAATGAGATTGAGGCAATAAGAGTCTCCCAATTGAAAAAAGATCCCAGGATGAAAGGAATTTACTATTGAATTTTACCAGACCTGTAGAGAGAAACTAACATCAATGATCCTCAAATGCCTGTGAAATAAAAAGGGAAAGATTATTTCCAAACTCATCCTACAAAGCCAGTGTCACCCTGACACCAAAACTGGGCAAGGACTTAAGAAACAAAAAGAAAACTACAAATATCCTTAATGAACAAAGATTCAGAAACCTTACTAGGATTCCTAGAATTCAGAAACACATTAAAGACCATAGACTGTGACCAAATTTTAGCCAGAGCAATTAGACAAAAGGGAGAAAGGAAAGAGACACAGAGGAAAGGAAGATATAAAAGTCGCACTGTTTGTAAATGCTATGATCTGTTACCCAGAAAGATTTACCTAAAAAGATTTTTATATCTGACAAGTCAGCAAAGCATCAGGACACAAAATCAATACAAGAAAACCTATTTTGTATCACTAATATAAACAAATAGAAATGTATTTTATCTCTTTCACCTTCATTTCACAAGCTTTCCTATGGGCCAGTTTGAACCCACTGAGAAAGAAGTCAGTAAACAATTACACATACAATAACTGTAAAAAAAAAATCTCTAAGAATATGCCTGGCTAAGGAGACGAAAGGCACATACAATGAAAATTACAGAAAAGAGAAAGTGAAGGAGACATTAGAAAATGGAAAGAGTTATCTTGGTCATCATTTGGCCGAAATGATGCCATTAAAATAGCTATGTCACCAAAAGCAAGCTGCAGACTCAATACTGTCTCCATTGAATGACCAAGAACATTTTTCACAGAAGTGAAAAAATTCTAAAATTCATATGGGATCCCCAAAGACACAAAGTAAATCTGAGTAAAAAGAGCAATACTGGAGGCATCAAAATACTTGAATTTTAGGATATACTACAAAACCATTGTAATAAAAACAAATGTACACAAGTCAAGTGGAGAACATGCAAAGTTGTATAAATGCAGCCGTTTGATTCTTAGCAAAGGGGCCAACATTGTGTGCTAGGAAAAAGATAAGTTCTTTAAAAGTGGTGCTGGGAAAACTGGATATTCATAGGCAGAAGAAGAAATTAGATTCCTATCGCTCACCCTGTAATGAAAACAATATAAAAGGGAGCAAAGATTTAGGGATAAGACTGGAAACTTTAGGCTGGATGTGGTTTTGCATGCCTGTAATCTCAGCACTTGGGAGGCTGAGGCAGGAGGATTGCCATGAGTTTAAGGCCAGCTTGGGTTACAAAGTGAGTTCAAAGCCAGCCTGAACTGCAGAGTGAGACCCTATCTCAAAAAGATCAAAAACCAAAACCAAAACCAAAACCAAGCAAAACCCAGAAACTTGGAAATTTCTGGAAGAGAACACAGGGGAAGCACTTGAAGCCATAGGCTCAGGCAAAGACTCCCTGAATAGGACTCCAATAGCACAAGAAAAGCTTTTGCACAGCAAAGAAAATCATAAAAGGTGCAACAAGACAATCTGCAGAGTGAGAGAAAAATCTTTGCCAGTTCTTCCTCCCATAGAGGATTAGTATCTAGCATATATAAAGGACTGAAATAATACCAACCCTCCCCAAACAACTTAATCAATAAATGGGCAAAAGAGTTGATGAGACACTTCTCAAAAGAAGAGGAACAATGACCAGTAAGTTTATGAAAAGTTGTTCAATATCTTTAACCATTAGGGAAAACTGCAGTAAGATTTCCTCCCACCCCAGTCAGAAGGGCTATCATCACGAATATGAAAAACAGCAAATGCTGGAGATGCTGTGGAGATGCATGCACACTTCTACACCATCAATGTGAAGGTAAACTGTACAATCACTGTGGAAATAAGTATTGAGATTCCTCAAAAACTAAAAACAGAGATGCCACTTGATCCCACTATAGCCCTCCTCCATATATTTCTGAATAAAGACAGCTATTGAAACTGTGCTGTGATCAGCTGACACGTAGCTGAGCTATGGAAACAGCCTGGATGCCTGCCAGCAAACGAAAGGATGAAGCAATGCAGTGTGTATATGCAAGGGGATATTATTGAGCCATAAAGAAGAATGAAATTTGTGTAATTTGTGGGAAAGTGGGTAGAACTGGAGACCATCATGTTAAGTAAAAAAGTTAAAGATTCAGAAAGTTAAGTATTGCATGCTTCCCCTCATTTGAAGAATCTAAAAAAAGGAGAGATGATAGAATAGTCAAAGGCAGATTGTAAGATAAGAGGCAAGGGATGAGAGGGAGAGGCCAGAAAAAGGGGTGCAAGGGGTTGGAAGGGTCAGAATAACCAAAGTATGTTATGTACCTGTGGCAATATGCCAGGATGAAACTCACTATTTTGTATCACTAATATAAACTAATAGAAATGTATTTTATCTCTTTCACCTTCATTTTAACCCTAGTTGTACAAATCTATATGTCTTATGCTTGCCATTAGTTCTTGGGTTGTTATAAATTCTTCAGTTATTTTGATGCCTGAAACTGATTTCTGATAGATTCCTTGGAAGCTCACATGGAGCAATAACTTTTGGTTACTAGCATGATGCTGGGAAGTCAGCTGGGCTGGGTATAAAAGCCATGTCTTCCTTTTGATATCATAAATATGTGACTCCATTTTGTTCTATCATAAAGCACTTTTGTTGAAAAATTGATGATTATTCAATTTTCTTGCCCTTACCAGTTACTTTTGCTTTTTTTCTATAAGGATTGTTTCCTTTTTTCTTAACTTATTAGAGATATCCAAATGTGATCTTTCTGACCAATATTCTTAGATATGTACAATGCTCCTTCTCAGTGTCATTTCAAGTCTATTTCAGGAATGTTTTTGTGAATTAGTGTTTTTCATATTTGTTCTGTTTCTTTTCTTTGGTTTTCTCATTTCAGAGATGTCCATCATTTCCATGGTAGCTATTCCCTGACCATCCTCAAAATTACTACTTGATTACAATTTTTAAAATTTTTCTTCATTTCTTTTTTGAATAAACTTTTTTTTTTTATGGGTACTAGGGATTGAATTCAGGACCAAGTGCTTGCAAAGCAGGTGCTTATGCCACTGAGCTAAATCCCTGGCCCCCATTTCTTTTTTGATTCAAAAAGTTTTCCTGTTTTTCCTTCCTGTTTGTCTTAAAAATCATCTCTTATATTTGTCTTCCTTCAAGTTTAACACGTCTTCTCTAGTTCCTTTATGACTGCCAGCCCCTGGCTTCCGAGTTTTCCTCCTCATTCTGATTTATGTTGCTTTTCCTATCTTGTATGATTTCCTTCACAGAGATTTTAGAAGGTTTCAGCTTTGGTCTTTTCTGTTGGCATGTCTTTCTGGCATGCTTGTCTGAAGGGATGTTATTTTTTCTCTTATTCTCATTTATTTATAATAACTTTGTGTGAATTGGATCTCCATACATTTCCTTTCTTGTTTTTTACGTAAAATTAATTTTATTAAGCTTTTAGAAGAAAGTCTTTTTCCGGTACAGCTTTTTTCAATTCTTAAAGCCCCCTTCTTTTTTGTGACATTTGGAAAAAACAACATAGCTCAACTTCCAAGATTTACTGTCTGTCCTTCAGCTGTGCACTCATCTGGACTCCTCTTTTTTTTCTTTTTCTCCTTCTTTTCCTTTTTATCTATCCTAATTAGCTTTTATTCCATCACTAGCAGTTTTGCTGCGTAGCTTCAAATCTCCGTCACTGGACCCTGCTCTAGGAGGTCTCTGGTTAATGGTTTTGAGTCTGTACGGCTCTGACTTCCATGCAACCTCTCCTTTTTCCCACTGTTGGCTTGGGCCCGGCTCTTCAGTGTTAGTTTCTGCTCTGAATTGCTCTATTGTACCCGAGTAGGCAGCTTCTCTCTGTTCTGGGGCCTCCAGGTCTCATGGTGAACCCGAGTCTCTGTTCCTTTCCTGCATCTTCCCCTGCGTAGGAACTGATACTGTGCAAGTCTGGGGTCAGGAATGGATTCTGTCCCCTCTCACTGGTATTTAGGGCTTGTAGGGAAGCAGACACATTTGTGTGTTAAATGTTATTAATAGACACTTAGTTTTTCTATCTTGTTGATTTGTTTGTTCTTATGTATGTTTGTCCCCAGACACTGAAAAACTTCACCACTTCTGTCTCCATCTTCAAAAAGTTTTTTGTTTTTGTTTTTAACTGAAGGGATTCTGAGTGGTCTTCTTTATTCAGAAAGTTATTTTAGTACAAGGAACCTATGGTTTATTTACAAAGACTCTGTTTACCTACAACCAGTGGGAAACCCATCTGTTATATAAAGCCACACGTAGCTCAGTTACTGTATAGGTTTGTGCTGGGATCAAGTAGGATAAAATTGTGAATTTATTGGGTGTTTGATCTTGGGAAAAGCACACTTCCCTTCTTGGATTTCCTAGTTGTCTTTTGTAAAATGAAAGGAGTAGACTAGATAAATTCTTAATTCTTCTCCTTCGTATCACTTGCTAGAATTGCATATTATTAAGCTCTGAGAGTTTTGTACTAAGATGGGAAGAAAGAAAGAAGATCAACCAGGGCCCAGACCAAGATGTGCCTCAAAACAGCTAGGTTAGCTTAGTGGTGTAAGTGGTATAAGTGTGGTAAACATGAAGTGGTGAGTTTGATTCCCTGGTACCAAAACAAACAAACAAACAATAAAACAAACAAACAAACACAAAACAGCTAAGTTAGCTTACTTATTAAAATTAGTACACAATTCTAGACTGGAAACCATTTTTCCTTAAAGAAATAATGCCATTGGAAATATCTCCAGCTCTGTCTTGCTAGCTGAGAAATTTCAGATTAACAGTCTCTTCCAAGATATCTGATTTAAATGGTGCCTGCTATGTTTGGGAATCAAAGCTAATGGTTACTTGTTTACTAAACACGAGATGTTCATGGACATTCTTCAGGACAATTCTCTCAGCAAATCTAGTGATTTAGAGGACCAGTTCTCATTCAATAAAAGTACCTGCTACTTTTTAAAATTACCAGCACTTTGGTACTTACCCAAGCCAATTCAATCAAAAATGTGTAGAGGTGGCCCAGACACTGGGTATTTCAAAAAATTCCCAGTTGGGGAATTACTGGGGTGGATTATGCTGCCTCTGCTTATATATGATAGAGTCAGCTGCCTACGATCTGAGATTACACAGTTCTTTATGACACAGTTAACGTGTGGCTTGTCAGAGACCTGGCTAGTGTCAACGTGCATAAACATTTGTAACCACTGGGCGGAGCCCACTTCTAGAGGTGAACGTCAGGAAAGCAAAAGCTGATCTGCCTGATTTCCTAGTGCAGTTCCAGTGGTCAGCTCAGAGTTAGTCGCGTGATGGAGGGATTTAACAAATATTATTGAATGAACAAATGAAGGAAACAGATACTGTATTTTACACTGATGTTCCTTGAAAACACCCACAGGACCCACACAGGGGAACACACCGGGTCGCCTCTCAGTCTGCCATTTTGTCTCATTCATTCCTCAGTAGCTGAGCTGCCCTGTCACCCAGTGACTCTTCAGCTCCATCTATTTCCAGGGTCGCTGGACTTTTCCAATTCTGTTGCAGAAAATTCAGGAAACGGATTAGTAGGCTCCCAGAGAAAACTGTCACTTGAAACTGTCCCTTTAATAGGGAGACCTAGGAATGCTGGCCAAGCCTGGCCTTCCTTATCTGCACTCTTGTATCTGAACGGTTTGCAGAGGTTGCTGTGGTCACTCTGAGCATGGGAAAGGAAGCAGAGGGCTCTAGTTCTTTCTACACTCTGACTCCAGCTTGCCAGTATTATTTTTTTATTTTTAAATTTCTTATTAGAATATATAACAGATATGCATAAAAGTGCACATTTTGCAAATAGAAAATGCAGATCAAGTCTCGTGGGGAAGCTTAATAGAGTGAGGGATTGGCACTGTGGCGTGGATAACCTGAGAGAAAGAGGGGTGCAGAGTGAGCTGTGAGGGTAGCTGAATGGTCGTGGGGAGACTCCAGTGTCTCCATTGTCCCTTTCCCTGAGTGGCTTCCCTCAGGGTCCTGAGGACAGCAGCAGCCCAGGCCTCAGTATGAGTAGGAGCCTCAGTTCAGCCAACTGCCTATTACTATGGCCGTAATCCTTCTCCTTCTTCCCTTTTCTTTTCCTCCTCTTCCTCCTTACATTCCTCCTTCTTTTTCTCTTTCTTAGTTGTCTCCTCTTTCTCCTCCTTCCTTGTGCTTCTCTTCCTTTCTTTCTCTTCCTTTTTCTTCTTCCTTTTCCCCTTCCCCCTCTGTCTCTTTTCCTTCTCCTCCTTCTCCTCTCTTTCTGCTCCTTCCCATGCTACCTACTTTCTCTCCTCTTAAGCCTTTGCTTTTTCAGTATTTAACCAAGAACACATGCCCTGAGCTATTTCTCACTGCTGCACCCCTACTAAATCTTGAATCAGAGTCTTATTAAGTCACTAAGGTGGGGCTCAGACTTGAGAACCTTCTGCCTCAGCATCCCAGAGTGCTAGAGTTACAGGCACGCACCACTGCACCCAGCTCTGGCCCATCTTCTGCTCTCCTCCACTTTTTGTTTCTAACTTCACACTGGTTGCTACCTTAAGCACCAACCGTGGCGGAGAGTTGGGTGGCACTTCATCAGTGTCTCATGTGTTCACAAGGCACCTGCCACGTTTCCCAGGCCCTCTTGCTCAGTGAGCTGCACTGAACACTAAAACCAGAGTAGTAGCCTGATGCTGAGCACATGAGACAGCTCCCAGGGCTGGTTCGTTTCTGCTGGTCTCAGTGGACTCCTGTGTTGCATGGGTCCAATGAGTGACAAGTATTTAAAATATTTCCAATTCCCAGCATGCCTTGAGAGTCTTACATCTGTACATATTTTTCTTTTCCTGAGATCCTTTGAATACTAGAGGAGAATTCAAACTACTGGGTAGAATTCAGGTTTTGCATGTTATTTCAAAGAAATTATATTTTAAAGTGGAAAGAATGATATTTTAAAGTGGAAAGAACCTGGGTGAAATTCTCCCTTATCCTTTCTTTCTAAACCAGAAAATGGAGTACCGCTACATACTTTTCTGGGTCTGTGTTTAAAGACCTAAAGTGTAAATGTTTGTGCCTTTACCTGCCTTGTAACTTCTTATGAGCACATTTTATATCACTAAAAGTTGGCAGAGTGCTTCACTCTCAGTGAAACCGAAGGCACTGGGCAGTGTATGCCCGGGCAAACATCAATGGTTAAGGGATTTCATTAGCTGTGTTTATACCAAAGGGAATTAGACACTTCGATATTCGTTACTCCCCCTTCAATTCCACTAGCCTTCCTTGAGCTTCCTTCTCAGAGGTGAGGACCCTCCCCGGGTATTTCAGTGCCTGCTGGTTTAACAGGTGACCTGGTGAAGGCTCCAGCCCAGCTCTGCCGCTGCCCCCTCCAGCCCTGTTTTACCGCGGTGTCCGGAGGGCATAGCAGCCGCCGAGGGAGATTGATGGTCTTCACTTTAATACCATAAGCCCCGTAGGGTCCACGCTGGCGTCATCATTCTTCCTCACCCGGCTGTGTGAAGGCTGCCATCGCTATGCCCGGAGATTGATGTCTCTCTTACTCTAAATCTTCAGGATGAAGGAATTCATCAAGGGTTCCTCAAAATCTGCTGGACTTTGAAGTTTTCCCTAAGGCTTCAAGAGTCCAGTGATCAGAGATGGAGACGGGTAGTCAGGTCTGTTGTGGCCTTAGTTATGGAGCTGGAGAGATGGAGCACCAAACTCGAGACTGTTCACTTGGCCACTGTCACCCGAGTAGCTCGCTGGACCTTGCCTTGCACTTCAAGGCTGCTCCTGGGAGTGAGACTCCAGCCACAGTTGGTAAATCAGCCTCCTGGGCCTGCGGAAGGTCTTGCAGAAAGAACCCTTACACTCCTGACTGCTGGGACCTTCGTTGGCTGTTTTTGTTTAGATTCCCAAAGCACTAATGCTACTATAGGACTTTCCCCCAGAACTCGAGGAACACAGGCTCCCCACTGGCTCTCTCTCCCTGGTTCACCACCACTTCCTCAATGGAAGGGCAGTGGTAGATGAGGACAGGGCGGGTGCTTCTGAACCGGGTTCCCCAGGAGCGGTTCTGTTCCCAGTGAGCATGTGAGCATGATGAAAGAGGGAGGGGTAAAAAACAAGAAACTTCGAGGAGCTGGATGCAGCAACAGCCCATGCGGCCTAAAGGAACAAGAAGGAACATCTAAAAAGCTGGTGAATAATGAGAAGGTGGTGGAGAATTGGGGGATGCTGCACTTTGTCGAAGAGCAGGAGATGGGGAGTGGGTCAGACTGTGATTTCTGAAATCAAGTTTTGGAGGTCGTGCTGATTTCAGGAATAGCAAGGTAGTGAGTGATAGTAAAATTAGATAAGTGAAGGAAAAGGTGTGTGAGTGGGAGAGGGAGGAGGCCTGAGAATCCTGGTAGTAGCTAGCTGCCCTCCTGCTGCACACACAGCTTGATATTTTCTACCTGCTGGTCTAGCTTTCCAACAAGCCTGCTATTCTCGCAGATAAGGACTCCATTTGTCTTGGCAAAGGCTTTTACTCTAATGCCCAGGGCCTTGATCCATACAAATACTCAGTGAAGAAGTGAACAAACAAATAAGTCCTTCCTTTAAAGAATTCTGCAAATTACACCTGATGCAAGAAGGCCTGCTTGTGGGATTTCTTACGGGCCCTGGTTTCCCCTATCGTGCACAGATGACGTGTGACACTCTGCTTTGCTCCTGCAGGTGGCTCCCGTCTAACCTGTCTTGGTATCTACCAGACGATGTTGTGGAGGAGGTCACTCGTTGTTTCCTACAATAGTCCCTTCACTGGCTCCCACCAGGGACATCAGAGCTGTGATTTCCCTCAGTGAATGACCTTTTCTGTGAGCCTCCTAAGTGAGTATGTTTTCCTCCTTGCTTTGCTTGGTAGATCCAGCTTTTGTGGTGCAGATTGAATTTTAGCAAATATCCAGAAAAGTAAGGTATCTATTTCTTAGAAATAATTTTCTCCAGTTTTTGAAAATTTTATGTTTTTCTGCTTTACTCATCTTCAAGCTTTCTTCTTATGTTCTTTTTTCTACTCGGGAATCATTTTCCAAAGCTTAATGCTACGGTGCATTCCTCCAAGACTCAACTGGTGATACGTTCCCTTGACCCCTCTTCATCTGGGGTGAGTGTCTGGTGAGTGTGTAAAATAGAAGCTGATGAGTACGTAGGGGGTGACAGGGGAGATGTGGCTCATCCCTGTTTACGAGTGAAACACTCCTAAGGGTCCACTGAGTGAAGCTTTTGAGTTTCACTTATGATTTCCAAGCACACTGTTAAATGTGTCACCTGTCTTGGTCTGGTACCCAGCAAGCATTTCTGAACACTGGACAATTAAATCAGCAGCCTCTTCTGAACCTTTATTCATTTCACTGAGGAGTTTTATAGTTTTTGAGCATGCATGTGCCTTGTCAAATAATTTAAGAAATGTAAAAGGAGTAAGGGCTCGGGAGAATCCTGCAAGAAATGCAAATGCAATGACAAAGCAGAAATCAAGGTGACAAATAGGGACGGTGGCCACTGCAGACAGAGAACGATGGATGGAAACAAGAAAACAAGTGAAACTCTATTGATCTATCCACGAAATATACGTGGCTAAAGGAAATGAAAAACAAACAGAAGAAATGTACTACTGCTGTGAGCACTGTGATACATGACACCGGAGAGTCATTAAACACGAAGAAGAAGCACAAAGGATATCATAGAGAGGCCAAGGTTGATCCCAGAATGCTCGCTGAGACACCAAATAGATTTACGCGAGCTGTTTCCTGCAGATCCAAGGGCGAGGGCTGCAAGGACAGGGAGCACAGTGTCACCAGCACCAGGAGAACTCAACCTCTGCCTGTGTCCCAGTGAGGAGTGGCGGTGTGGTGCCCTCTCCAAAGGCCAGTCCCCAGATCCATGAAATGCTGTGCATGGAAAGAACAAGACCGTTGACTGTGTTTTGCATGAAACAAATGAATAAATAAGTAAGGGGACTGGGGATTTAGCTCAGCGGCATAAGCACCTGTCTTGCAAGCAGGCAGTTGTGAGTTCAATCCCTGGTACCAATAAAAAGGAAAAAGACAAAAAAAAAAAAAAAAAAAAAGTAAAATGCATTAAAATTTCATTAACAACTGTAAAAGCCTTCTGTGATGGTGCAAGTTATGTTGGTACAGGTAGTTTTATATATTTTTGTAAGTTATCTCCAATCTTTTCTTGGGAGAAACTGGCTTATTTATTAAAGAGCACAAAATATTACTTTCCAAAGTCTCATTTTCACTGTTGGGTTTTTAAAAAGCCAACCAGTTACGGAATGTTTGTTATTAGTGTTACTGGAGCTCTTGATTACCACACATTTTGTGCTTCCATTATGCTAAGCAATATGCCACGTGTCTTTTGTTGATTATTTATTTATCCTATGGCACTAAGGTGGTAGATACAATTATTGTCCCCATTCATCGTCCAGCAGCTTCCGGAGTCCCTAATAATTTCCTTGAGTGAATGAGGCAAAGACTTCACTCTCCTCGTGCTTCTTGCAGATGACTGGGTGTCATAAATGCAGGTTAAATGGTGACAGAGAGGGATAAGGAAGTGCCCCTTTGGGCAGAGCCATTTAGGAGTGTCTCTCGGAGGAGATGACGTTTGAGAAGAGTACATGAGACAGAGCGAGGCTGTCTGTGAAAGAAATCACAAAAACATTTAAAAAGGCTAAGTAACTTACCAAGGATTACACAGACAGAAAATAGCAGAACTGGATTCAAGCTTAGGAAGGCCAAACTCTGGAACCTCCAGTGCTCTGGGCTACTTCTGGGGGTGCAGTGTGTATGCAGGATCCCAACCCCTGCAATTGCAACATAGAAGAAAACCAGAGCTTGCTGCCCGTGATGCCCAGTGGTGACCTTGCTGTGGCCACTGTAGAGGGGCTGGGCTGCAATTTTGTGGCCCTAGACAAATATATCTTTGATTAGGACAATTCTGGAAAGCAACTTGAATTTGTTGACTTGAATTTGTTGCGGGAGTAGTAGGGAGCAGAGCATCTTTGGGAAGGACCTCACAGTGCTGAGTAATCCAAAAACATTTCTGAGTGAACCTGTTGCGTGATAGCACTGCTTGAGGATAAGTCCCACTGTGTCCTTAGCCTGAGTTACACATGGAAAAGTTCACTGCAACAGGAGCTCGCTTCCCCCTTCAGTTTCTTCTCATTGACTTTCCCTGTCCTGCTGTAGTCACAGCTGCGAGGTATCGCAGAGGCCCCAGCCCCTTCACATGCACCAGCCCACCTAAGGGAATCCTGTAACCTTCTCTCCTTCCACACTCACAGTGAGGATGCTGGATGGGACCTGACTGCCCTGAGACCCTCTGTATCTGGGCTGATATAATAGCTTTCTTCCCTAGTTCTGGGGTGAGAACTAGTTGCAGGAGCTTGTTCACAGGTGAGAAGAGCATGCTGGTGAGGGGACCCTGGATCTTGGCTCTTAGATATGCAAATTAACAGCCTTTTAGTGGACTTGGGTAAACCTGTGAGGTTTTGGGAGACATGACAGGAACTCAGTAAAATTGTAACCTACCATCCTCCTGCTCATTGCATATTTATCAATGAGCACCTCTAATAGGCATAGGAGGGTTCTTACTCAGGAAGCACAGAAAGCTCATGGCCTTGTGGGAGAGACAGATCATTGTATTTCATGTCATTAAGTATTAGGAAAGAGGCATAAGCAGTGTGATCGGCAAAGCAGAGAACGGCAGAGGGGAAACCAGAAGAAGCCGAGATGGTGCTACTGGAGGAGGGTCTTCCACGAGGAGTGGGGTACACCAGGGGAGGACGGAAAGACATGTGACATTCTGGGTCAGAATAACAGTGCATGGAGACACCCAGAATTCAGAAATGTTTCCCCGCAGGAAACATTGTAATGGCATGAAGATGCCTCAGAGGGAAATAGAGGTAGAGGCTGGTTGGGTGGAGAGGAGGCTGGATCAGATAACGGGCTAGACTTGTTCTTTCTTACTGTCAGGAGAGGCACAGATTTTTGGAGCAGAAGGGACTTTAGAGAATATTTAGTTGATAAAGAGCCTGCGACTCAGATGATGTGCTCATCAGCTTTATCTTGCTGTGATAAAACACTCAAGAAAGCCAGCTTAGACAAGGGGAGGCTCATCTCGGCTCATGGTTCCAGGGGTTTCAGTCCATGATCACTGGGTGAAGGCACTTTGGGCCTCTGATGACCCAGATCCTCACTGCGGGAAACTCATGCTGGAGCAGAGGTGATCACTTCATTGGGGCAGAAAAACAAAGGGAGTAGGAAAGGCTGATCCTCAAGGTCTCTTTCAAGCACTCTTTCAACTCAGTGACTTAAATTCATGCTACCGGGCCCCACCCCTTAGGCAATCACCTCCCAATAGCTCCACAGGTTAACAGCTAAACTTTCAGAACATCTTGGGGGAACATTTGAGATCCAAGCCATACATGGTGATTTGATTTGTCAAGATTTTAAAAAATAGAATGTGATTCAGGTGTTGTTGCCCCACGAGCTTTCCTGAGGACTTGTTTTGGTCGAACATGTAGATGCACTGTTATGTTTATCAATATAAACACAGTGTTCCTGGGTGTGTGCGGAAGGACAGACAGTGAGTGATAAGTATAATCACACAAAGCTGAATCTGTCAGTGCCTGGATGGCACAGTATTAAGATTAACGCCTTGGACACTCAGCCGCATAACATCAGTGGGTGTGTAAATATCAACAGTTCTGACGAAGGGCAGCTCGGGAAAATGTGTCAGAACAGCTCATGAAATCTGAACAGTCTTGACCTCAAATTCCTTTTGAAACAATTTTTTCCCTCAAGGAATGGCTGGTACTACATCTGAAGTATATCTGCTCATTGTGGTGTTGCTCCTAATGTCAAAACAATGGAGGCAGCCTATATCTTCTAATAATTATGGTACAGTAGAATGCAGATGTCAAAATGATTCCATAGAAGTTTATTTGGTTGTGTGAAAATATATTCCTAACTTAAAAATAGGTTGGAAAATAATATACAATGTTCTTATTCTTATAAGGAATAGATATATATTCTATTTATATGTATGCATGAAAGGAGTCTAGACAAATATATACCAAGCTATTAATAGTAGTTATTACCTGGTGATAGAATAATAGGCAATTCTTTTTTTTTCTTTTTTAAAATTTTATTTAAAGAATAAAAAAACAAAACAGTAAAAGGGTACAAGTAATACAGAATTTCAAAAAAAAAACAATAAGAAATCACTAGTTAATAGATTACATATTATCATCTTAGAAATAGTTATTCAAGTTACAAAATTAAACATACAAAGTGGGCATTCAAATAGTGAGACTGCAAACAGTTGTGTTCAATGGTCCAACAAAAACTTAGTAATATGGTTATCTGTCTTACACACCTAAACACACTTGCAGTTGTATCCTTTAGAGCGCTTTCCTCTCTTTTTTATAATAACATTTACACATTTTGGGTTTTATTATTTCCACAGTTCTTCAATTCTTCATTTCTACTATTGTCTTGTGGACATAATTTCTAGGATTTTTTTTGAAAACCATAAACATGCATTTCCAAATTACTTGAGCCATATAAAGTTATACTAGATTAATTCTGTGTACAGACTGCCTGGTGGCTTGTTCACCAAACCTATTTCAGAATCTTTTGTTGTCCCATTCAACACCCTTGACCTTGGGCCAACTACTTAGGGTAAAATCAAGGTAAATATCTGGGACTATACATTACAGTTGGAAACCTGCCTTGCACAGGCTGGATCTGTGATGAGTAGGTAAGCTAGGCTCATCTCTGCTGCTTTTTGGAATGCATTTATCTTTTGATTAAGCATGGCTGGCCAGCACCCAGAGTTTCTGTGTCTTGAGTAAGAGTGGTACAAAAAAATCAGATAAAAGCATCTGCTACTTTTCAAATTGTTTGTGCTGTGCCAAAGTTTCACCTGGGCACCGGGATTCCTTTTCAAAAGCTGGGTGATTTTTATATTCTGTGCATACAGAGTAGAAATAACCAGGGATAAGCTAGTGCTCTCAGGGGACCTGCTCCCCTGGGTTTGCTCAAGTGGGCATGCGTCGAGCATTTTTAGGACGGGCTCTACAATTTGGATTTTATAAAGATAATAAATGTATTGTTGCAGAGAAATCGAATTCTTCACTGTTGTCTATGCACAAAAACCAGTGAAGGACATTCCTGGCTCCTGCCTGCAGACTTCAAGCTGGAGAGAAAGAGAGATTTGCCGGGGCGCTACCCTCTTCTTTCCTCTTCCCTAAGAAACACTAAGGTCTTCTTTCACGAGACTAGACCTGATTCAAAGTGATTGCTTTCCTTGTGTCTCATGTTACCCAGATCTAAAAGCTCCCATCTGCCCTGAGGCACCTGTATCATCTGGTTTTATTACAGAGTCCTTTCGCAGAATAAAGGACAGAGGTATTCACCACTGTGTGCATCTCCCTGTGTTTTCTGAGCTGAAAGGAGCTGATGGAGGCCAAGGTCTCCTAGTGTTTCAGGCAATGCTGAACTCACCAGTGACGTTGATGGGTGGAGAAGTGTGTTAGCGGACAAGATGGGAGCAGAGGCTTCTTGGTGTCCTGAAAAGGATGATGGGTGACCTGTGCAGTGAACTGTACAGAGCCCTGGAGGGCACCTCCAAGGGCAGAGGCTGCCAGACACAAGGACAAGGTGGGCAGAGGTATTTGTTTCGGGAGAATCAGACTTCAAGGAATCACATTACATCTTGAAATGTTAAACCTTAAAGATGTCAGAAGAAGCCACCAAAGAAATAAGGACCTGTCTCTGTTTTCATGGTGTTTTATAAATCTTCTAGACACTGAAAGGGAAAGAGGTTTCAACAGAATCTGGCCAGCCATGTAGCCTCCACCCGGAATGACGCGGGCTTTGAGGCTGATTTAAGTTAGAAAAGAAAGCAGGGAAATGGTATTTCTGGCTCTAATGTCACTCGCTCTGAGTCCATCAAATACATTTTTTAGACTTTGTTCCTCATCAATATTCCTCCTAACGTGCTGCCTGTGGTCATATGGATTTCCGACTTCTGTGGCTCTGAGAAGAGATTGATCAGACAGCTGCCTTCCCTCGGTGAGGATTAGCAGTTTGGGGGCCAGGAGCTGAAATTTTTAAGAGCTGTGGTTATTGATGCAGTTTGTACCCCTCTGTGTGGGAAAAGTCACCTCGAGGTTGGAGACGGGAACGGATAATCTATTTCTGCAGCGTCGGGAGGTTTCCTGTACTGTATTATTTAAACAGCACCCTTCCTCCCTACACTAGTTGCAGCTACACTTGTTTCTCTATGCTGAGGAACAGCTAATCCACTTTTAGCTACAGTATTAAAAACGATGCCTTTGATTGTCCTTTGATTTCTGAGGTTCTGGTGATATAATTTCACCGAGTTGGAGTCATTGTAAGTCTGGGTCTTTAAGTGCTGTTGTTCATGCAGGAAGTGGGGGACGGTGGACCATGGAAACGACAGGGGTTGTATGTGTGGCTGAGGAGCGAAAGCAGGAGCCCTGGCCCTGGGCTTCTGATTGCGGAGTGGAGCAGCTGTAAAACACCAGTAACTACCATAATAAGGCGGGGATTGACAAGGCTGGAGCAGGCATTGTGTATGAGCATTCAAAAGGGGATGGAAAGCAGCCTTGCATAATGGGTAGGATGTGGGTAGGTAAAAGGACAAAAGGCGATCTGTGTCTACTTTCTGATGAAGTTTTGATACTCAAGGCCATGGCGTTGGTTCAGATACCTTCCAGGCACGCCAGGCTCTCTTCCTTTCCGTCACAGCCCACGTGTGAGTCAGGAAGCAGGTAAAATTGCATCCTATGCTCTCTGGGAGAGTTTAATTCCATTTCTTCTCTCCTTCTGCATTCCAAGTGAGGATTCAACTGAGGCTGTGATGCAAACTAGGTGTTTCCAGAGATCAAGGATGGTGGGCTGCAGGGAGGCTGGGACCTTGTCCTTTGACATGAAGTCACACTGGTCGTTCTGTCCTGCCTGTGCTCAGGAGCAGGGTCGGGTCAGGAGAGTGGAGCAGAGGATGGGACAGAAAGGCGTCAGTCTCCAGGCTATACAGCTGGGCATCACTGGATGCCCATCATGGTTTGAAGGCCTGTGTCCCTCCAACATTCATGGAGCCTGCAACCCAATGTGACGGTATTGAGAGACGGAGCCTCTAGAAGAAGACTAAGTCACAGAGGCTCTGCTGCCAGGAACGGGGACAGCATGCCTATGGAAAGGTTTGGATGGAACCTTGCTTTCCCCTTTGTGTGACAAGGAACAGTGTCCATCCCTCCTGTCCTGTGCTAATCAGCTACATCTTTTTTTTTTTTTTTAATCGGTACTGGGGATTGAACTCACAACTGTGTGCTTGCAAGGCAGATGCTTATGCCACTGAGCTAAATCCCCAGACCCATCAGCTACATCTTGAAGGCAGAGGGCAGCTGTTACTGGGTGCTGAATCGTGATCTTGAGCTTGGAATTCCCAGCCTCCTTAAGTGAAAGGAATCAACTTTGGCTCCTAGAAATTACTGAGTCCCAGGTATTCTGTTTTGGTATCATGCATGGAGTAAGACAATGCAGCTATGAAAAAGCTACTTGGAAGGATGAGGCAGGAAAATGCAGGACCCACAGAAACCTGCTCTCCACACATGGACTGCTGATAAGGCCTTGGAAAGCTAGACAAGGTGGCGAAGGTCCCGAGTGTACTAGCCGCAGCTCAGGCTGCTGCATTACAACGTAAATGCAGTGGCTAATATTTACTGAGTGCCCTTTCTCTGCTAATCTCCTTATGATGTGTTATCTTATTTCTCCACAGAGCCGTCCCAGAAGGGAGCTAAAGACTGTTATCACCAGTATGCAGATAAGAAATGCAGGCAGAAAAGTCACAAAAAATTGGCCAAGGTTATTGGCAAGTGGTAAGTGCAGCATTGAAGTCTGATTCCCAAGCAGCTAAGCTCAACTCTTGCACCAGAATGGCTGATTTCAAGGGAAAGGAAGAGAATGCCTGCAGTGGTTGTGTTCCCAGAGCCCTGGAGGTAATAGAGACAGTTGCTTGGCTGGCTCACATCAGAAGATAATCTAATGACCCACTTTAAGACAAAGCTATGGCCATGCCCACAGGACACATGTCTCGCATTTCCCCAGATATTTTCTCTTTTATCCTCTGCCATCAAGAGGGTGGTGGCTAGCTAGCGGCATTTTAAGAAAGCATTAATAATGGATCAAAATACCTTTCTGATGGAAAAGCTATTGATAGCTTATTAAAGAATAACACTCTTCTGACTTGCCTGGAGTTGACTGAAGAGAGAAAATGAAACAAATTTGCAGCCTGCTGTCTTGTTCTGGTTCCTTCTGAAAAATAAATAAGCCAATAAGCCACTGTGGCAATACTGTTGGCTGGGTGTGTGGAGTTGCGGGCTGTAATATGCATTCAGCAATCAGGAAGTGTGAACTCGCATTGCTAACTACGCATTCACTGCTGAGGTCTGTGTTTTAATAATTCTTCATGTCCCCATAGGAAGAGCAATGTTGAATTTATATGTTGTATTCAGTTGTTATCTACAAGTTTACTGTCAATTCCACATCGCACCTCCGGTACTACAAAGAAAGAGACCCTGTGTATTTTATGGTGGCCCAAATATGTTGGGATCCTCCTGGGCTTGTGCATTATTCTATCAGGGACATACAGGTGCATCTGCCATGGACGCATGTAACCTTAGAGAAAACTTGTTTACATTTTGGTGAAAAGGTAATGAATGCTCACCATACAAGATTCAAAAGATATTACTCAGATGTACAGTAAAGCAAGTCTTCCTCTCTACCTCCAAATCACGGCACTTCCTGTTTTCCTTTCTTTGTGGCACAGGTATCTCAGGGAGGATGATTCGACACTAGATTTTGTTTTTTAGGTTCTGGGAATTGGACCTGGGAAGCTCTAAGTTTCACCCTTAGCCCTTTTTACTTTTTGACACAAGGTCTCGCAGTTACCCTGACTGGTTTCCAAGTGGAGCTGGCCTCAGCATCCTGAGCAGCGGGGATACAAGTACCAAGCAGGCGTGCCTAGTAAAATCAGAATATTTTTGACTCAATCAAAAATCAAACCATTAAATATTCATTTTTAAAGAAATTATGCAGAAACCCCCATTGCATGGTGCACCTTGGCACCCACTTAGAACAGGTTCTCTTCACCCCAACTTGGATCTAAAGACCACTAACAAGGAGATGAGGGCTAAGGTGATGGATGTCGGGGATCCCACGAGGCTTGGCAAGGAGCAAGGATGTTAAAGAGTCAAAAACAGGCGAGGATGAGAGATGGGGTGAGAAGCAGGAGGGTGTTTGGCACCAATTAATTTTTAAAATCCAATTTTTAAATCTCAAATTGGCTGTTTCGTGAAGTCCTGTTTTATGTATGTGAAGCATTATTGACAGAGCTCAGATGAGCTTGGGGTCTGAGGAGATTATGTGGCTGCCTCAAGGAACAGAGCAGGAGTTCACAAGTGCTAGCAGGGTCAGCACAGAAGGTGTCCTGTATGCTTCAGCCCCTGTCACTGGTGGGACTGAGCTGGTGCCCCACACAAAGCAGTGTGAATGAGCGGAGGGAGGAGCTCCCAGGCTTCTCTGCAGCCTTCCTGTGCCATGAGGTATCTGCAGTGCTTTCCCCAGGGCTGGTCTTCCCTTCTCCCTGGAGCATGCAAGAACTCATAGCTCCGGCTTACTGCACCATGGTGGGGTGGACGTAAGGAATGTATCCAGAAGGGGTGCGAGAAGAGAGTACAGGCTGTGGAAGGGCGTGAGAAAAGGGACAGGGTGGGAGGTCTATGCACCCTGTGGGTTGGTGGATGGGACGGTCAGTGTGTGGGTGAGGATGAACACAACACAACCCTTTCTCTAGGGAAACTCAGGCCTTGCATGGAGCGGGCAGCCTCAGTCCCTTTGTCAGTGTAGGGGTGTGGCCCGAGCTCAGAGTGACAAGGCAGCTGAGGGTGGCTTGGAGAGAGGAGCCCTAGATGTCACTGTACCAAGAGTGCAGGAATACAGCTTGAGCAAACCACTATGGACAGTGTCCTTCTCTCACTGGACACATAGCATCTTTATGCCCACTGTCTTCCTATGTGACATTGGCTTTAAATGTATTTAGATGTTACTTGGTGTGTGTGTAAGAAGGCTGGACCTCAGGTACTCTAGAATGTTCTTTCTTCAAGTCTTAGTTTAGATCTTCGAGGCAAGAATTTCATTAATCCTGGATTAGCCAGTCAGGATTCCCATTAACAGGTGGATCTACCACACCCTTAATCAGCTGGAAACGTGTGGACACTGCAGCTAGGTCAAGAGCAAGAGTGGATTTCCAGTGTTGGAGCCCCATGGGGTAGCTCAGTCAGCTTTTGGGCCGGAGCTGGTGGGATGCAGCCCAAACAGTAGGGTGTGTGAGTGCGAGTCCTCAAAGATGTGTACAGGCAGGTGACTGTGTGTGAGAAGAAACATTCCTCTCCTAATGTTTGAATTCTAAGACTCTCAGCCTTGCAATGCAGACAAGAAAAGGTAAGTCAGATGCATAAGAGCAGACACCGAGCTGGCAGGCAGCATCAGAGCTTCCGGGGCCCATTTAACTGATCTGAACACCTGCTGATATCCTGCTCCCTGGTGGACAAGACAGGGAGGAGGGAGGTAAGACACAATCTCTGCCCTGGAGCAGCTGTCCTGCTTATGGCAAAAGGACATGAAACCAAGTAAGCATCAGATGGGCCGAAAATCAAATAAGTGTTAAGTAAGTATAAATAAAATGATGAGGGTTTGAATTTTAAAATGTACAGAACCATTTAAAAAGTCATGCTGTATGACTGCATTTATGTCAGCCACAAAGACAGACAAAATGTGCCTATGTCTCACAAATCAGGAACTTTAGCTTGGGACAAAGGGCCTGCAGGGTACAGAAAGGGCTGAGGAGGGTGGTTATATTCTGTGTCTCAAACCCTGTGCCAGCCTTGTGAGTATGTCCCTCTGTGAACGCTTACTGGGTGAGACACGGAAGTGCCATTGTCTTGGCAAATATCCTATTTCAATAAAATGTTAAAAAGCTATTTACTTGTTTGGTGTCTTACTCCCTGTTCTTGTCTCTGAGACAGAATACCTGGCAGCTACACCTTAAAGGAGAGAGTTATTTTGGCTCTTATTTCAGTCCACAGTTGGCTGCTCCAGGTCAGAGCAGCATGGCAGAGATGGGTGGGGGAGAGCAGCCCAGGCAAGACAGACAGGAAGCTCAAGAGAGGAGCCAGGGAGGGAGAGAAACACTTCCGGGTCACACCCCAGGGGTCCACCTCTTCTTACCGCATCTATCTCCTAATAGTGAGTCAGTGCTAGGGTTCCATAATACAATCACCTCTGGAAAGCCTGTCCTATGGAAGTACAAGGCTTGTGGACATCTAGGTATAAACCACAACATCCAGCCCTTCCCAGACTAAGTCAGTTATAATGTGGGGGAATCTCCTGGGCAATACTATTAAATGTATTCTAGGGTGTCCTAATATGCACAGGAGATTAGGTGCCACTGCTATTTGTCCTATAGACAGAGGGAAGAACCAGAACTCACAGCAGCTGGAGCTGAGTCCAGGCTTCTTTCCCAACAGAGACAGAACATGTGTGGACCCCTAAGGCTGGGCGGGATGGAGGAAGGCCAGTAGGGTACACAGCAAACCAGCATCTTCAGCCCACGAATCAGTCAATTTCCATCTTGCATTTTCTCTTTTTCTCACAGTTTTCTTTTGGAACTCAATTTCCCTTCTTAATTGATCTTGTCATATGTCAGCCCCTTAGGGTCAAGGATTGAATGGGGTCTCACCAGGTTTTTTGCAAATAGAATTAAAAAGCAATTAGTCTTCTGTATCCAAGGCATTATAATTTATCTAGTTTGTGTTCTTTCTTGTGTTTCTGCACAAGTCTTAGTAGGCTTTCGAGAAAGCATGGGTGAAATAAATGATAAAAGAAACATGTTCCAGCCTTTAAGTTGATCATAGATGTGCCCTTTGTCCATAGTGATCAACTTCTGACACACACGATGCACTGAGGAATGTAAAGGTGGGAAGCAGACATGCATCGATTTCTCCTTTCAGGGGACAAAATACCTGACACTCATAACTTAAAAGATAAGAGTTTAACTTGTGGCTCATGGCTTCAGAGGGTTTAATCTGTGGTCAGCTGTTTCCAAGACAGAAACATTGTGGGTGGAAGGGCCTGGTGGAAGATAGCTGCTCTCATGGTATCCAGGAAGCAGAGAGGAGGGGACAAACCTGACAGGAAGAAGCCAGGTACCAGTTAGGACCCCCAACATCACTCTAGTTCTTAGGGTCCTCACAAGACACTAAAAAACCACCTCTCCCGGAGTTTCTCAGCCCGGTCCAGCTGACTATCAGGATTAGCTGGCAGGCAGTCTTCTTAGGGGCAAAGATGCATGGGTTGCAGGCTTGTGCAAGGGTCGAATTCTTTAGCGAGTGTGTGCTGCTCTGTGTGATTCCTTAGTTCAGACAGTCCAGATTCCTACTTATCAGTGAGCACAGAGGTCTAGAATATTTATTGAGAGTATTAACGAATTTACAGTCAGATTCTTGTTCTAACAGCCTAGCTCTCTGGGCTCATTCTTGGTTATGGCGTTACCAGAACAGCAGTGATACCACCCGACTTTCACCGAGAGGTAGGTTTAGGTCGGGGACTTTTCATGAATGATCTCATTTAGTCCTTAGTTGGGTCTTGTAAATTTCCACTTGACAGAGGAGAAAACTAATTAATAATTGGTATTATTAACCATCCAAGATGAATAATACACGAAGGTCCCACCATTTGCCAGAAGCAGAGCCACTTATGGCACAGTGTGGAGTCCCCAGACGAAGGTCTTACTATGTTGGTCAGCTAGAGGATGATGTCACCTGGTAATGATTGGTCCTTCCCTCCCTTCCCTCCCAGTCTGGAGAATCCACACTTTTCTAACGCTCACAGTTGCCACCTTGCGCCCTTCTCTTGCATCACATTTGCTCGAGGTGCTGCCTCTCTTCTCCACGTCTCATCTTTAGAAGAGGAGGTGATAGATTAAACCACACTGCAATGTTAGGGATTTGCTGTGCGAATACCCTTAAGAGTGACTGACTTGAAGGGAAAGTCCTCAGGGCAGACAATGCTTACAGGGCTTACAATGCTTACTCCTCAGTGATACTCTTCAAGGTAACGATGCTAATTCCAGGGTCAGCAACCACCTGCCTGGGTCAAGTATGGCAACACAGTCACGTGTGTTTGTGTGTCTGTTACCCACGGCTGCCTCACACTAGTAGGGCAGAGTAGGGTGACAATGACAGCGGTCCAAGGGCCACAAAACCTCACCACTTTGTTACCTGTTCTCTCAGGGAGCCCAGGGTGCCCCCCCCCCAAGTGCAGAACTTGATGGCACAGATGTTCCATGAGTATTGAGCTCCTCTTCCACCTCTCAGGTCCTTCCTGTGGGTGAATTCCGGGTAGGAAGATCCCTGTGCAGTCACATCCCATGGGTCACTGCTGACCATGCTCAAGGTGAGCCACAGAAGCCACGATCCTCACTGACTACTCACGGGTGCCTGGATAAGCCGCCCAGACATAAGGTGACACATTATTCATTTTGCAGAGCCTTTTCTGATACAAAGGAGCACGGAGCCCGGTTAGGGCTGGGGTGTGGTCCTACGCCGCAGATGTGAATGGGCACGAGGGCAGGAAGAGGACAGAACAACACCCAAGCGCTGGCTGTCCTCTTCACCAGGCAGTCCGGCAGCAGAGAAGGCCCTGAAATGAGCCTTCAATCACTGATAGCTGCAGTGTCCTCTTTAGTACATTTCCGTTGGGACCCATCCACATCATATGATCCTCGGTTCCCTCGGGGTAGGAGCAGAGGTGGTGTGGGGTTGTTGTGGATAGAACCAGATGCTGCCTCTTGCTCCATCCAGGAAGCCTGAAATGCAGAGCCTGTGCGCTCGGCAAGTTCTCCTTCCTCTGATTTGGGGGAGGCTGGAGCCTGACATCGCAGACTCCTAAGACCTGCATTGCCCTTCCCAGTACTCCAGTTCTAGGCTTCTTCCTAAGGAATTTCCTGAGGTCTTCTCTGTGGATGCCCGCAGGACTTGACAGGTGACATTGGCTCCAAAGTGGGCACCGTGATGGAGGCTTGGGGCTGGGCAGCACTTGACCTTGTTACTGGTGGTAGCAGTACCAGAATGACACCACCTGCCCCTGAGTGTTAGCCTGGGCTCCCTAGATGGCAGAGTTTGAGGACAGAGGTAACAGTGGTGCAACCCGATCCTGGGGAGCAGGGTGAGGGATGAGGGTGTGAAGCAGGAGCCAGAAGAGGCGAGCACAGAGTGGGAGATAAAGTGAAATTTTTTCCCAGGCCCTGAGGCTGTTTCAAAATTAAACTTGAACTTACTGGCCCCTCAAAGAGCACATAGAAAAAAACTTTTGGGTGAGTTACTCGTAAATGAGTCAGAGGCGTGCAGACTAAATTTTCCCTCAAATATACATGGGTTAAAAGAAATTACAGTCTCTGGAGGAGCCGGCTCCTGCAGGCGGCAGTTTCTGCCAAGTCAGTGCCTTGGGGAGAGCACCCCTGGGGTCCTGCCAAGCCCCAAGAGCCAGCAGCCTCCGTGGGGACTTGACAAATCCCGGAGGAATCTGACTTCCTAAATCCTTGCTATCCATCTGGACGGGGCCCCCGTTTCTGTGCAAATGATTCACCGTTATCATTTGTGCCACCCCTTCCCGGTCTCGGGACCCCTTATGTTTCACATCAATTCCTACTAAGTATTTTATTTCAACACGTCTCCTTCCCTCCCCTGTCTGCCCCCCTCTTGCCCTTCCAGGATCTCTTTTCCAGCAGATTCTGAAGTGGAGCCTGGCTTTCCTTGAGTCTGGTCTCCAGCTGGCTCTGTCACTGGCGATATATTCCCGACAGGTGCAGGTGGGCAGCAGAGCCCATGGCATCCTGGGGGACCACTTCCTTCGGGTCACAGCGAAGTCACCTCCGGGAACACTGTTGACTCTTTCACTTGCACAAAGCAATCATTTTCGTCCTCCAGAGAACAACAATTAGAAACGAATCAGAATAGTTATAAGCATGTGGCTAGGCTACTTTTCCTTCAGAGTTTTGGGGTGCACACCTGTACCGGTGGTGGTGCAGCTACAAAGGTGAAACTGCAGCAGGACCATGACTGTGTCCCAGACGAGGGGCTGCAGAGGGCCAGTGTGACCAGGAGCACACATGGAAAGTGACTGCAAACCAGTCCCTTGAGCTTCGACCTGCTGGACTGCGACCTGTTCAGCTTGCAAGGTGGCTGAGACGAACGACCACAGCCAGGAACATAAACTCTGCTCTTTGCATTTTAACACCAGCAGATGCAGGGCCGCTGCCACTTGCCAGTTCTTTTGCCCTGGGCGTGGGTTTTAATGTGTGCTCAGAGTGGCCTTTGTTCCTCACCAGCCTTTTGCTGAGCACGCTGGTAAAGCGCCGTGCTGGTGGCTCGAGTGGACTTGGAGTAGCCCCGGTTTCATGGTGGCACTGATACCATCAGAGGCCTCTGCCGTGCAGCCCACGCCGATGAGGAGCCTGGTGCCTGGAAACCGTGCTGGAGTCGGACAGCAGATGTAAAACTCCTCCGAACCCTTTATTGGCCATATGTCCCTTCTGAGTGCTGGCCAACAAACCGAATTTACAGCTAATATATAATGATTTAAGCAGCAGAAAAGGCGCAGCTGTACTTTGATTTCTGAGCAGGCTGGAGCTTCCAGAGATGCCTTAGCGAGCTCCACGGCAACTCCCCAACCTGTACCAGGTGGCACCATCCCCGGTGCCACCCTGACATCCACCTTGGCTTCCTGCCCTCTCCTGTGTCTTCCTTGAATTTCCTAATTTTTTATTACTGTTCTGATTTTTCAGTTTGATAAGAAATTATCCAAACCAGAAGGCTTGGGTTTATTTTTCTTTTTTAACCCCTATCTGCTTCTCGATTTCTGTTCCAATTGGAACCCGCCGTGGACTCAGGAGCAGGGCCCTCTCATTTGGGGTGTCCTGGCT